TAGCCAGCGGTCTACCAGGAGCCTTCGCGGAAACTACAACTACTACAACTACACGGTGACGACGGCGGCCAGCTGACTTATTAGGCAGCACGAACCGTTTAAATTATTTGGAGGACCAGAGAAAGGGGTCTGGCGTGCGGCGATCTTCCGCGCAAGAATGCGCGTTTGTATTTTTATCTGCATTGCGACCCTTCGGCAAAGGACCAAAGTTTTCGCAGCGGGAACTGCCACGGCTTGTTGTTGGGGCTTCCCCTCCCCCTCCCCCGCCGTCAGATACAAATCTGCCTCGCACTCTCTTCCGCCCACGCCGCCTCCACTATTTCTCGTCCCCGTTTACCAGTTTCGTGTCATCCTTTGCATCCGATATCGACGACACGGAGGGCAATCCTCGGGGATGCTGCCCCCCGCCCCCTTTTTCGTCTCGCTGGGGGCGACACAGGAAGCCAAAACGACACCTATTGGGACAGGCATACAGACAGGCTGACAGACAGACAGACAGACAGACAGACAGACAGACAGACAGACAGATAGATAGATAGATAGACAGACAGATAGGCGGGGAGATGCAGGGCAGAAGGTGCCAGGGGTGCTGTTACGTGCAGCAATGTTTACCTACACTCCCCCGCACCCCACCCTCTGAGGTTGTTTCACGCTGAGTTGCACTTCCCCCGCATAGGACGCCAGAGGGGAGGGGGCAGGAAAAATGCAAGAATGCCAGCGCGTGGCGCCGCGTGGCGCCGCGTGGCGCCGCGTGGCGCGTTTGGCCAAATTCCACCGCCAACTCGAACACAACTAGAGCGGTCGTGCCCGCGGAGGCATGTGTGATGCGCGGACAGAAAAGAAAGGCAGCGGGATGATTTTGGCGCGGGGAGCGGAAAGCGAAGGCCAGGGCGGCGACGGCGACGGTGTCTCAAGGTCCTCGGGCAGCGCGGCACAGCGCGGCAGGACCAAGCAGGGCCGCCAACAGAATTAAGCCTCCGACGACGACGGCGACGGCGTGGCAGGGGACTGGGACGGGGCGCCGAGTCAACGAGGCATTCAAAGCATTGCCAACGTCCCGGGACTAAATTTCACAAAGAAAAACAAATGGATTAGGGCCGGCCCCTCCGAAGCGCGCGGCCCGGCTGCCATGCCGCCCTGCCCGCCCGGACTGCGCGCCCACTTTGCGGCCAATTCCATTTTCAACAATCGCGTCAAGTTTCGAACAGGGTGCCGAGCGCCTAGCGAAGCAAGGAGAAGGTGAAACAGCGAAGCGGCGAAGCACAGGTGCATTTCTTTCGGCGGTTCCCCGCTCCCCGCCCACGCGCCTCGCCGGGATTTGTTGTCGTCCGAGAGCCGAATTCAAGGGGAATAATGTTTACAAATGTATTGGGGGAGCCGTGGGCCGGGCCGTGGGCTGGTGAGCGCGGCGCCTCGAATCGCCTCGTCGCGGACGTGGGCTTTCGGCCTTTCCGGCCTCCAAGCCTTTCGGTTCGGCGGATGCAATGCAGCAAAGCCCGGCGGCGGCGCGGCGGCACCGAACTAACTCGGGAGAAGGCGTAGGCGGGGCGGCCGCCGAGGACAAACTGCGAGTCTACAACACGGTGGGACGTCCAGATAAAAAAGTTTTATGTTTATGAGAGACGTAGCGAGCCAATGCCCTGCCTGGGCGGCCTGGGCTGAGAGTACCAGCCGGTGGTGTTTCCGTACCCCGCCCCGCCCCGCCCCACCCCGCCCCACCACCACCCCTCATCACTTTATACCTTCCATACACGCTAATGGCTTTTGCCAGAAGATGAAAGAGGTTCTCTTCAACATCGCGAACACCAAAGGAATTAAAAACAACAAAAAATGGTGCAAGTAACGGAGAGAGCAAGTTTTTAAACATGTGTGAATTAAACGCCGCGTATACAACGTATGCAAATAAGAGGAATTAAATCGCACAACAAACAACGAACAGCAAAATTTTGAAGTGAAAATAAGAAAAGTGTGCAGGTTGCAACACACTTGCTCGGAACGACCGCCGGAGAGGCACCGAGGGGCACTGAACCAATATCCATGCAGAAGTTTTCGGCTTTGCCGTCGCGGGAGGCGGGGGTGCGTTTATGTGTGTGTGTGAGGGGGGAGGATGGGACGTCAGGGAAGAAGAAGTATTCTGTGCGGTCAGCGGGGGTACATAAAGCATCACAAAGGCAGTGCTCTGGCGGGGGAATAAACTTGCCAGCCCGCAGGCGAGGCACCCCGGGCGGATTTGAACCCGCGTCTCTCGCAGCCGACATAAAAGGGGAGAGTCACTTACGCGGGGCGGGAGTACGGCCTCTCCCGAGGTGTTAACAAGTCGCTTCCGTTTCGCCTTCAAGGCGTTGACCCCGCGAGCGCGGTGGCGTGTGAATGCTGGCAGTGATTGTGGCGGGGCGGCGCGGGGCGGGGCGCGGCGTGCGGTGTTTCACACTGTGGGACCCAAGGCGCCCAGGGTGCCGTGGGCCCGCTGAGCGCGCCTGAGCGCCGTGCGGTCGGCAGATGGTGCGCGCCCGCCTGTTTCGCATGGGAATCCTTGATGAGGCCCGCTGCGTCGCGGGGCGTCGCGGGGCGTTGGGGGGCGTTGGGGGCGTCCCCGTGCTCACCTGCAGAGGTCCTGCCCCGCCCCACTGGGTGGGCAGCCTGCTCCAAGTCCTCGTCCAAGCTTCGTCCGACAGTGTCGCGGACGCCGCCTCCTACACCGGCGTCGTCGTCCTTCTCCTCCTGCGCATAGCTTGCCGCACACACACGCGCGCGCACTGCTTGACACACACACACGCGCACTCCCGCCCACGCACGCGCGCCCACACGCAGGGGTCTTCACCTAAAGTGGTGCGTCAGAGTGGTCGTCGAGGACCGGTTCGCGAGCACGGCGATGTGGCAGCCCGTCATGGCGGGGCGCGCGGCACCGGTCGGCTGCGAGCCGAGCTCGGCCGAGCGGCGAGCGAGTGGGGCCGAGCCCTGCCGAGCCGAGCCGAGCGGAGCGGTGCGGAGCCGGGACGCGGACGCGAGACGACGACGCGGAGGGTGGGCCCGGTACAGGCCTGTGTCCCAGCCGGCTTGGCGCACCGCTCTCGGGGCACTGAGGCAGGGAGCCCAGCGAGGGCCGCGCCAGCAGCGCCACAGCGCCAGCGTAGCGCCAGCGTAGCGCGTCAGCCCGGCCGGTACGCCCGGCCCCAGCCCGCCCAGCCCGCCCAGCCCGCCCCCACCGCGCCCCGCCGCGGCCACCCAGCCCAGCCCGGCAGCCCGGCCGGGCCCAGGCAGCAAGCCCAGCCCAGCCCCCGGGCATACCGGGGCAGGACGGGAGGGGGTGGGCGTCGACGGGCCGGGCGGGGCGGGGCGGCGGAGCCGGTACAGCCCTTCTGCTGGCCGTTCAAGGAAGGTGGAAGGTGTGTGGATCTCGGCCCCCAATCTGTGTGCGTTCACGGCCGGCGACCCGGCGCCAGGGACATGCGCCACGCCGCGTCCCGGAGGATGGTCCCGGGGGCACTCCCTTTGCAACTGGGCGATACGCGAAGGGAGGCCGGGCCCTAGTCACGCAAATTATCGTGAAATCGCTCCGGAAATTGGTTCCGCGCGGCGGTGGCGTGGTGAGTGTTCGCTGCGAGGGAAAACTCGTTGACGTGGCGAACGCGGGCGAACGCCACCGCGGCACCGTCGTCGGCCTCTGAGGGGCTCCGCCGAAGAGCGCCGTGTCATCGCTCACCGTGCGCCACGCCGCCACACGGTAAGCCGGTGCTCGAACGCCGGTTAGGGTGAGGCTCGCCAGCACTGCCGGTGCCGTGGCAGTGTCGTCGATCAACTGCCTGGGCTCAATTAAGCCACAGCGTCGCACCGTCGCGCTTCTCCCAATCAGGATGCCAGAGCGCACCTGATTCTGCTCATCTACTCGCTTCACTGTCTCTGTCACGCCCATGGGCAGCAGCGTGATTGTGACAGGAGAATCCCTAGCAAAGGGTTTCATAGTTCCTTGTTTTCACAAAAATTTCTGAGAAAGAACGCGGGAACATTCCTTCTTTCTGCCCAAACCCAAACAGATCGAAAATCGCGTGCGACATTTTCGGGCGAGGCCAATACAACGAAAATGGCGCCTATGATGATGAATGTTTCCTCATGCAGAGAGGCTCCACAGGCTTGCATCTCAAAGTGCGAAGTTCTCCGCCACTCCACGCACCCCGGCCCACCCCACCCCACCCCACCCCGCCTCGGCCCGCCCCGCCCACCGCGGCACGCACACCCAGACTTTGTGCCTGCGCCCCACTGGGCCCCGCTGGGCCCCACTGGGCCCGGCGCAGCCCGGTCCATTCCGCGCCCCCCAATGATGGCACCCGGGCCGGGGAGCGGCGGGGCGCGGTGGGGCGTGGAGGGGCGCGGCGAGGCTCAGACCAGGCGACACCTCCGAGAGATTACTAACTTTGAGGGCGCTAGACGCTTCCTCGCAAAGCCTCACGGGAAGCAGACGGCCGCATGGCGCCGCATGGCGCCGCACGGCCATAAGCAGTGCACAGTTCCAGCCCAGAGGTACCCGGAGCGGTCCGTGGAGGTACGCCGCGCCCAGGACGACGCCAGCCAAGAACAGAAGTGGGGCCGCGGTCCATGTGCGGTACACTGCTGTAGAGGATGGCTCCAGTCCGCTCCAGCCCGCTCCAGCCCGTTCCAGCCCGTTCCAGCGGCGGGCGGCGGGGATGCTCACTGCGAAAGGAGGAGTGAGGTTGTTGGTCGGGGAAAGCCTTCGCCGGGATGGCGGGGCCCTGGAGGGGGCGTGGGCGTGGGGGGCGCGCAGGGGGTTGGGGTGGCGAGGGGGCGACGGTGCTGTGCCCTGCGGGCCCCGCTATGCGGCTGTCTCCGGCGCCGCCTCTGCCCACTGCATCGCCAGCCCCCCTCCCCTCCGCCCCTCCCCGCTCCACGGCTAGCCTTGTGAATATATCTATTCCGGCCCCTCTTCCGCTCCTTTTGCGTTTTGGAGGAGGCGGGTCGGCAGTCCGGCACCAGACAATGCAAACAGGCTTAATTATGTCCCAGAGGTCCTGCACTCCCTCGCTCAGGACTTCGTCCAGGATCTCGTCGAGGACTTCATCCAGGACCTCGTCGAGGACTTCATCCAGGACCTCGTCCAGGACCTCGACGAGGACCTTGTCCAGGACCTTCGTCCTGGATCTCGTCCAGGACCTTCGTCCAGGACCACGTCCAGGACCTCGTCCAGGGCCTTGTCCAGGACCTTGTCCAGGACCTTGTCCAGGACCTTGTCCAGGACCTTGTCCAGGACCTCGCCCGAGACCGCCTCCAGGCATCCGCGTGTCCGCGGCGGCGCTCATCCTCTGCCTTCTTTTTCGGGTGGCGGTCACTGGCAGCCCAACCGGCCCAGGGGGCGTTATGAGAAATCACGAATGCCGGGGCGTCGCCGCGACCACTCCCACACTCAAAACTCCTTTGCATAAATTGCGGCGAGGCCGCGGGGCCGCGGGGCCACCCGCCGTCCGCCGCGCGGGCCTGGAAGGGGTTGTAACAGGGCCTGTCGGGGCATGGGCCCTGAGCATGGCCCACGCGGTGCTGGCCGGGACTTACAGCCACAGAACGCGGCCAGGGGGTGGCGGCCGCGGCGGGTGAGAAAGAGAGGCTAAAGTTCCAGTCACCTACCTCGCTCCCCCACCCCGCCTTCACCCCCAAGGCAGTGGACCTATACTTATGCTAATGCCTGCAGGCAACGCAGCAGTGGGCAACGCTGTAGCGCTACAAGCGGCGGGCCAGGGCGGGGCGGGGCGTTGTTGGCACCCTGTAGCAGGCCAGCCAACACACGCAGACACCTGGCCGCGCTGCCCGCGATAGCCCGCCTCCTCGCCCCGCTCCGCCCTGGCCTCCCTTTGCTGCTCGTGCGGATGCCCCATACTTTCTGGCTGTTGTTGCTGCTGCCGCCGCCACTGCTTCCGGCCGCGGCCAGGCATCGCAGCATTGCGCAGCACCTCAAGGAGTGCCCCGTTTTGTTCCGCGGCCACCGCACTTAGGGCCGTCACTCATTCGCGGCCCCGTCGGCCTCTCCGTGACGGCGAGGACGCCGCCGCTGCCGCCCGCGTACCGAGAGGACCCCCTCACCCTCTCCAACAACGAGTGCACCCGCCGCATACGTGGAAGACAACAACTGCAGGGAGCCGGAGGCAGCCAAAATGCGTTGGCAGCGGCACCGGGAGAGCCCCGCCCCGCCAGCGCAGCGTGCCCAGTCAATATGCAGGGGTGCCAACCTGCTTGCGGCATACTTGCAGTGCCCTCGTCCCTCAGGGCTGCCAACCTGGCAGAAATATGTTTGTGACGCGCGCGCCGTGCCCCGCCCAGCCGTCTCGGCGCCGCCGACTCCATCCTCCCCTAATTTCCTCCCCTGCTCCCCCTCCCCCTCGTCCTCGAGGGTCATCGCGGTGCGGCGGAAGGGCCAAGGCGGCCGAGGCACGTCGCGGTGAGCCTCCATTTCCCGCTCCCTCTTCTCTCTCTTTCCGACGACGTATGAGAAATCGCGGTGGCGGTCGCGTCACGTCTGCTTTCCCCGACCGTCGGGCGCTCACACACACACACACACACACACACACACACCACACACACACACACACACACACCGCACACCTTAATGGAGGCCCGGTGGTGCGGCTCCGGTTTGCGGGCGGCGGCGCCACGGCGGCGGATCGCACACGCAGCAAAACACGACCCACACCCCGCCGCCCGTGTGTCATTTTCCGAATTTTCCGCTCCAGAGGTTTTTCAACGACACACGACCGCTTTTCTTTTCCCTCTCTTTTTTTTGCCACCTGCAGCAAGGCCCAGGCGTGTCGGTACTGCGGTTTGCTCAGGCCGTCGATGCGGAATGAGGCCCGGGGGAGGGGCGCGCGGGTGAGGGGGGTTGCAGGGGGGTTACAGGGGGAGTGTAACCCCCGAAACCCGGGCGGTGCGGCCGCCGCTCCCCCCGCAGAGCAAGGTGGCGGTAACGTGGTTATCCTGAGGGTACTGTCGGGGAGGCAGGTAATGACTGGCACTGCTCGCCGTCGCCCTCGTCGTCCTCCTCCTCCTCCTCCTCGGCGTCATCACTGTGCAAACTCATTCCGAGCCGGGGCCCCGGGAGCATCTTGTATTTCCGTTGCCCCTCATCGGGGTATCCCCGTATCCCCAATAGTTATCGAACAAGGAGAGAGCATGTTCCATATGAAACGGGTGTGCCTCACGCTCTCTCTCTCTCTCTCTCTCTCTCTCTCTCTCTCTCTCTCTCTCTCTCTCTCTCTCTCTCTCTCTCTCTCTCCTTCTCCACCACCATTCGCGTCCCCCCTCGCAAAAGGAAAAGTATGTGTGTGTGTATGTTTGTGTGTGTGTGCGTGTGTGTGTCCGTGTGTGTGTTTGTCTGCTGGTGTGTGTGTACGCTGCGACATCTTCATCCCCGAGATATCAGAGCCAATCGGGTGAAGGGAATACGGGTGGACAAGTGGCTAGGCTAGAAAAACACGGCGAGGCGGGCCGGCGGCCCAAAGTAAAACACATTCCTGCCCTCTTCGTATTTTCGTGTTTTATTTCAGTTAGTTTTCTCTATTTTTTTGTCTTTACTAGTCTTTCCTCCCCTTTCTTATGATAAATTAACATACTGTGAAACGTTCGTACAAAATAAGTGTTGTCTGACTTTTGTTTTCAGTCAACACTGAAGGGACAGGTACAATCTTTGGCACAAGGTGGTGAACCTACACCTCACAGCTCGTTGGCCCAGTCGGGCTTGGGCAGCTTGAAGGCGCGCGTCCAGAAGTCGTCCATGGTGTGGTACACGTGCTTCTTGACGCCCGCCAGTGCGTGGGCCTCGTCCGGGTAGCTCTGCCGACAGAGAGAACACTTTGCAGCGCGGACACAGGGAGAGGAAACGCCCTCTGCACTCTCTTCACTCAACCACTTTTTTGGCGGGACATATTTACGCCCGCCTTGGAGTGAGCCGCGGAGGACGGCGAATCGTAACTCTATATCCCCGGGGGAGCGGGTAGGGTGGCTCTGAGGCGGTCGCTGAGACGCTCCTGCTGCTGAGTACGCTCCACTCCTGGCCCGGGTTCTCGGGTTCGACTCCCGGCGGCCGCGTCCCTCATTAAATCATCACCCGGCTTCAATTTTCAGGTATCTCATTCCTCACGCGGTGCGCCGGGCGGCGACGCCACACGATCCGGCATTCAAAAAAACTGGGCGCAAGGAGCGAAAACAGCCGACGATCTGACGGCAGGCCAACGGTATGAAAAATTTCCCGTCCTAATCCATGACGATCCCGCGACAAAGACACCGAGGTTCCCCCGCGCCGTGCTCCCGGCCCCCGCCCCGCGGCACATGAATATCCCACGCATTATTCTGCTGGCTCTGCAAATACCGGAATTATATCCAGAGAGCTCAGCGCCAATTCCCCTTTGGCTGCGCGCTCCGCCCCGCGCACGTGTGGCCCGTGTAATTCTACGCATGATGGAGGGGGACTTCGGAAAGGGAAGGGGGAGGGGGAGTCGGCCTGTCTTTTGTTATTGTAGGCTATTCTCCAATAACAGTGTGTTTTACTGCCCGATGCGCAAAGCGTGAGAGTATGTGTCCGTGCGTGTGCGAGTGTGTGTGAGGTGAGGGGGGTGGCGGCTGTGGCGGGCCAGTGAGTGTGTGGCGTGCGAAAGTGTGAGTGCGCGCAATCAAAGAGAGAGCGAGACAAGGGGGTTGTTTGTGGAATGTTAGGGAGGGTTAGCGGAATGAGTGTACGGTTGATAAACGCGCTATTAAAATTACTCGTCAGCCTCCCTCCAGAATGGCATCGTCATCATCATCATCTATTTTAGGCGCTGTTGCTGCTGCCTCCGCGAGTGGCTGGGGGAAGGCGAGTTGGCCAATGCGGGGCGTGGCGGGGCAGGCCGGGCTCAGGTACAACACATGCCGCGCGGACGGGGCGCAAAGCCCTGAAAGGCTCATTGCATAACTTTGCATCATATTTCGGGGGCGGTGTGCAGGGCGGGGTGGGGCGGGGAGCCACCTATTTCGGAGTAACAGGGCAACCCGGATGCCAGTAGCTCGACTCAGGGCATTCCCACTTTAATTCGGTCCCACGCCGCAAGGGGGCGCCGCTGACGTCTACCTCCATCACTCGTGAGTCTCTCCAGCGCGGCCTGCAGGCACACCCACCTGCTGCTGGAACATGATGTCCTTCTCCTCCAGGGCGCGCGACAGCTCCATGGACTGCTGGTAGTGCACGTTGTCGTCCGCGTTGCCGTGGATCAGCATGTACTTCTTGTTCCGGAAGTTGTCCACCCTGCGCGTCACGTCCGTGCCGTTGTAGCCGCCCAGGTTGTCCTCCGCGGTCGGCAGCCCCATGTAGCGCTCCGTGTAGATCGTGTCTGGAAACAACAAAACGTTGTGGTTATTCGCAGCGGTGTGCTTACATCATTGTTGACACTTAACCTCGGCGCGCCGGGCAGCCGGGCAGTCGGGCCCACCCCCGAAATGGAGCGGCCCAGCCGGCCTATCTCCCTCTCTCTCGCTCTGTCACTCAAAACAAATGAGTGGGGCGGGGGTTGCGGCGCGGCGTGGCCTGGACAGGGTCAGGGAGGACAGCGGCACGCTAAGTTGGAATGAAAAACGGCGCAGGCCGGTTCTGGCTTCTCCCGTGCCTCGCCTCGCCTCGCCTTGCCTCTGCGCGGTTTCTGGCTCTGTCGCGGCGATGTAAAGATAAACAAGAGAGCGGTCTTTTGTCTTTTTCCCAAAAGCCACCCAGGGTTTTCTGCAGGAGAAGCTCGGATCGGCGCCACGCCACTTCCCTTCTTCGCGTCGACGGCAAGGCGCAAGGCCAGGCAGGGCCAGGCAAGGCCGCGCGGATCGCCCGAAGACGAACCGCGCCGATGAAACAGCGTTCGGAACGAATGACAAACAGAACAAGAGCGGTGCACTCTCGCGACGAAACACGACTTCCCCGACAATTTCGAACCAGCAATTTAACATCACTCGTCCGTCGTCGTTCTTTGTTGTTGTTTTGTTTGTTGTTGTTTTCGTTTCGCTTTTTCCTTCGCCGGCGCCGCGCCGCCGCGCCGTCGTGCGTCCGGACGAGTGGCACTCTTCCCTAAAACGTCATCATTGTTTTGCGAGGACACTGGAGACAAAAGGCGCGCGCACTGCTGCAGGGACACGGTAACCTTTCACTCGCAGGGTCCCCTCTCCCTCCACAGCCCCCCAATGCGGCCGGGCGTTGCTAATTGGGGCATTCTCGCTGCGTGGAGGCGGCAGCCCTGGCCAAGCACCCCCTCGACGGGGACGCCGAGGACGCCGCCGAGGACACCGTGCTGGCGGGAGAATAAATTGTCCGATTATCGTGGCCGCTGGATGGCCGGACGGGGCATGGTCAAATGGGGCATGGTCGGCATGGCGCCCTCGGCCAGGTCCGCGCCTCACCGGCCGAGCAGGCCGAGGCCACGAGGAACCAGGCAAAGAAACGCACGCGCGTGAACCCTCTATTGCGTACCCACCAAACCAAAGTCCTTCGCCGCAGCAGGGAGCGGCACGGCACCCTACCAAGGACGCGCGGGAATATTTTCCCCCCAAAATAACATTTCTCACTTTGGCCGGGGCGGGCGGGTGCAGAGGCAGTGCGGTGAGGCGCGGGGCGTTGTTGTTTTCCCTCTCGCTAAAGTTCGCCGCCAACGACACCGCGCACTAGCGCGCCGCGCGTGTGGCCGGGCAGCCCGGCAGTCAGGCAGCCAGGCGGGCAGGCAGCAGGCAGCCAGGCGGCCTGAGCCTCGCGCCCCCAACAACACGTTGCTCGCTCCCTCTTTAAAGTTTTACCGATACGGCAACAGGTCTAAAGCGGGCGGTGGAACGCGGAGCGCGGTCCGGGAGTTATGCATCTTGATACACACACCCTGCGAAGCGTTGTGTGTGAGTGTGTACGTGAGTGGGTGGGTGTAGCCCTAAGGGTGTAGCCAGATAACACCCCTCAAGGTGCCCTGGGCTACACTAAAGGTCAGGAACTGGGCAAAAGACGTTGAAATGTCAGCAAAGGCGTGTTTTCACCCTTGACCAGTGCAAGTGAAATAATCAAAATGATGTATATGCGTGACCCTGTTATTGAGGTCACGTCGAAATGTATCTCTCTCAACTTGCAATCAGTGCCCCCGCAAAGTCATTCTAGGCCTGTCCTGTCCATCCGACCGCTTGTTTGCAGAAGGGTTCTCGAGTCGGCGACGACTCAGGACGGTCGGGCAGACAGGCGGGTGGACGGACGGACACACGGGGATGATTATTCATTCTGCAGTGCCCGCGGGGGCCTCTCTGAGGTGTTGGTAATGCCCCCTCCCCCTCGGCTGCCCCCTCGCCTGCCCTCCGCCCCCGCTTTGCGTGCCGTCCTCGCTGACCCTCCCCCTTCCGGCCTCGGCAAGCCACGGCGAGCCTCGGCCCTGCGTTAGTGCAGAGGCCATTCAGCCAAATAGCGCCTCGGCCACCCCACCCCGTCCCGCCAGTCTGCCCCCGTCTGCCGTCCGTCTGGGGAGCCTGAATTGAAGGCCGTTAAGGCCACGACTACTTCCGATTCAGAAGAAAAACCAAGACAAAATAAAAGCAGTGCCTCGGGAGAAGTCGAACCCGCGACCCCAACATAAAAGTGTGACCTTCGGCTGTTGGATACTGACCGTAGTAGATGAAGCTGGTGACGGGGGCGACGGACAGGCCGCAGCAGAAGACGCCGCCGGTGTCCTGCGCCATGGCGTGCGCGGTGGAGAAGCCACCGTAGCTCCAGCCCCAGATGGCGGTGCGGGCGGGGTCCACGAACTTCCACTTGTTCTTCACCTGGCTGCAACACGCGAAGCGCCCGGCATGTACTGGGGACTTTATCTAGATGTGACCCACGGCGCCGGACTGACCCACTCGCCTAAGCCCCGCCGCCTCCCATCAAACTGGGCGTGGCCGGGCGGCGCGGCCGACGTGTGCGGCCAAGGCACTCCGCGGCAGACTCTACCAAAATCAAGATTTAGGGGGTCTCGGCCAACTTTCGGCTCCTCAGGGACACTCACTCGGCGACGGCGATCTGGTCCTGGATCTCCACGGTGCCCAGGTGCCTGTACAAGGCGTGCATCTTCTTCCTGCCGTTGCGGCCCGAGCCTCGGCCGTCAATCAGGGCGTAGATGATCTTCCGGTTGGTGCACAGGTAGTCGCCGAACGCCACGGAGAAGGCCGTCGTCACCTGGTTCGAGTCCGGGCCCGCGTACCTGCAACGGGTTTTCGAGATAGATTTTGCTGTGGGCGAACGTGCTGCGAGGGCCTTGACTACAATATCGGCCGCAACGTTGTGGAAGAATAAATTATTTCTGGATTTCACGGCTTATTAGTTCCCCTCTGCATTCTTGAATTTTAATTTCCCCCGCATTTAAAATTCGTGAGCCCTTCCCCCGCCCCTTGGCCGTGCCGTTACTGCGACCTCGCCACCGCCTCCCCGCCGCCCCAGCCCTGCAGTCCAACTTTGGGCGTCCCTCTGCGGCGCTGCGCAGCGCAGTGCTGCGGCACGGCACGGGGCGCGAGGTCGTCTGTCTACTCACACGTAGACCAGCAGCGGGTACTTGGTGGCGCCGCTCTTGTCCATGCCCTGCGGCAGCATGAGCCGCACGCGCGCCTGGAAGCCGCCCTCCACCGGGTACCACTCGTCGATGTACTCGGGGCGCTGCCGCGTCCACAGCAGCGCGCGCACCTCGGAGTTGTCGTCCCAGGTCATGATGTGCTCGGGCACCTGCGGACAGGACGGGAGCGTGACGGCCACCAACACCACGACGGTGTTCACGACGACCACCACGGCGACGGGCACGCACCGAGGCCGTCTGCAGGCGGTACAGCCCGTAGAAGGCGGGGTCCGGGCCGAGGCAGTAGAGCGCGGCGTAGGTGAAGCTGGTGCTGAAGGAGCCGTCGCCGTACGTGCAGTCGTTCCTCTCCGGGGACTTGATGTGGCACGTCAGGCAGGCCGGCTCGCTGGCGACCTGGTTGTTGTCCTCGCCGGGCACCTCGACGCGGTACACGTGGCGCTTGGCGGGGTCCTCGGGGAGCGTCTGGACGTAGTACCTGCACGGGGATGCAACCGTCAGCCCCCTGCTTCGCTGGTTCGCCCCGCAAACAAAAGAAAAGGGGGAGGACCCGGCTGGGGACCGAACCAGGGCGGTGCGCTTACAGGTGGCCCCGCGCTTCGTCCCAGCCCAGGATGCTGAGCACGGTGGCGTCGCCCTTGCTGAGGTAGCTGACGGCGGTGTCGGCGGTGTCGTCGTCGGCGAACGTGAGCACGGCGAGGTGGGGGTAGTCGTCCTTCGGCAGGATGGCCGCCGCGCGCCGCCCGGTCGAGTGCATCTGCAGCACGGGCGGGTCCACCCAACCCGCTTCCTCGGTCAGGTTCCACGCCTGTTCCCGAGAATGAAACGGAGTAAAATCTAAATGCTGTTTTGAAATTCAAAGTGTGTCATGGCTTGCCTGTTTCTGGTGTTGGCCGTTCATGTCGTAGCTGGAAATGATGTTGATGTTCTGCACTCGATTGGTCCACGAAGCCAGAAGGCGGTTCGCAGTCCAGAAGCAGCCGTATAGAATGTGGTCACTAAAAAAAACGCCTTTGTTAAACTTCCTAAATGCCGTGCTTTGGCGGCTTATGGCAAGATGCCGCACCTGGTCACTTCGGCGGGCGGCAGGATGTCGATGAGGTCCACGGTGCTGGTCTGGGCCACCTTGTCCAGGTCCACGAGCATCAGGTGGACGTCGGGGTTCGGGGTGCCAGCCTGTTTGCAGGGTTCAAATAAGACAGATTGCAATCGATTCGTCAAACGCGCTGACAGCAGACGGCCGCCGTGGCCCGGCCGTTTCCCCGATTTCAGGGAGGCTGGTTCGGGACTGTCACAAAATGGGATCAGCTTCACCTCACCTTGGGGTACGTGATGTTGACGAGCGTGGGGTACTGCGGCGTCTCCTGCCCGCTCTCGCCGCCATACTTGAAGTAGAAGGTGTGGTTGACGAAGGTGTCGTTGAAGGAGGCGAAGGCCAGCATGCGGCCGTCGGGGGAAGGCCACAGGGCCGAGCCAGACGCCAGAACCTCCTCTGCAAGAGAATAAATTCACACTGCTAATCCAAGTGTGGACCAAGTCCACGCTAGGTAGCGTGGACCACGGTGGTCCACGCAAGGAAACGTGGACCACGAATGATCCACGCAAGGAAACGTGGACCACGAATGATCCACGCTAGGAAGCGTGGACCACGGATGGTCCACACTTGGAAGTGTGATTGGCCTATGAGAAGTTCAACGCTGTGAAGCGTGGACCACAGCTCGCGGTGCACGTTTCCCAGCGTGGACCACGGCTTGGTCCACGTTTTCTAGCGTGGACCATTCGTGGTCCACGTTTCTTAGCGTGGACTACCGTGGTCCACCCTACCTAGCGTGGACTTGGTCCACACTTGGATTAGCAGTGGCAAGCTTCCGCTTTCCAGCACAGGTCGACGACGTGGCTTTGTCATTGTGACGTACCTTCGTAGACCCAGTCCGGGATGCCGTTGAAGATGATGCCATCCTCGCCGGTGGTCGTGATTTGTACATCGGGCCCAGCGGTCATGGCGTCCTTGCGGTAGAACACGTCGCTGCCCTGCACCCACACGATGGAGTGCTGGCCCGCCCACACCAGGGTCCGCAGCGGAGTGGCTCCGTGCACTGGGGAAGTCGCTCTGCGAGAAAACGTAATTTAAATTTTGTCCGATTTGGTCGGCGTTTTTCTGGCCCACAAACAGAATGAAAATTCGTGTAGGAAGTGCGCCACTTACCCAGTCTGCGTATCGTAAATTACAAATCTGGACGTCGTGGAATGTCTGTAGAGCTGGAAAACGTCCACGTGGTCAAAATAAAAGCCAACAGGAAGTAATTTATCGATTTTTGGCTCACGACAAGAGTTTGATTTACCTTGGTTGTGTCGTACGCGATGGCGGCCAGCCGGCCGTCTTTGGAGTACGAGTCAATAGAGCTATCCGTGTACTTTCTCTAAAATTTAAAAGAAAAGGAAAATTTAAGGAAAAGTGAAAGGCCTATTTACTTTAGCTTCAAGTTGGCTTATCAACGCACCAGGACTTCGCGGGGCACCAAAACCGTCGTTGATTGGTTCTCCAGGTTGTACAAGACTGCTTCCTTCGTTGTCGAATTGAAAAACCGCAAGGTGTTGTCTGAAACAGATCACTCAGAAATAGTTTGTGCATTCGCACCCAAACAGGATTCATTCATACCGCACGCACCGGCAACCCAAGTCCCCTTGAAAGACCTGGTCGTGAACTTGGCGTTGATGAAGTCGTCCAGGGAGAAGGGTCCCCGCGAGGCTGTGGGCGCGCACGCGGCCAGCGGCACCAGCAGCGCGAGGCCCAGCGCCAGCACCTGCTGTCAGCCGCGAGGTTAGGCTCACTGCTTGACACTCAGATACCTAGGGTTCAACAGCCCGCCTCGGCAGACCTCAAAGAGTTCAACTGATAAATATTCGCAATCACGTCTTCTTGTTTCTTTCCTGCCTTCTCGCAGCATTTTGGTTTTGGCATAACCCTGCTGACAACACAAGTCCCTGGGAGTAATCAATGACGTTTCCTCTGTTCAGGTGGCGGCCATGTAGGCATTACACTTATCTAGAGCCGGTCTGGCGGGAGCTTAGTGCCTCTTTCTCTCTCTGTCTCTCTGCCTTGGGGCAGAGGCGGTGTGCCACTCTCTCTATCTCTCTCGCAAGGCAGGCGACCGAGCGGCCGGCCAGCAGGCCATCGCGCGTGTGAGAACTGAAATGGTAGTGCACAGAGGCCGCATGCCCCAACCCTGGCGAAATGTTTCTCGAGGTAGGAGTGTTGTTGTGTCGCAGGGCCTTGTTTTGCCGGGATCTCGTGGAAGTGGCGAAGCGGCGGCGAGAAGCCAGTGGCGCCTGTGACGCGTCCAGCGTGACCAATCTGACAACCGGACGCGGCGCGGCGCTGGGCACTGGGCACCGAGCGCGGCGCTCACACGCACGCGCGTTGACAGGTGAGCCAAAATAATAACTCCCGTCTCGTTTCAGGCACCCGATTCGCAATACAACCGCACACACGATCCAAAACGCGGGACATGATTTAATAGCGGCCCCGCCTCGGCCGGTACGCAACAATGCGAGAAAATAATAAAAAGTGCTTTGTTTCAACTCACGCGCAGGGCCGGGGACCACGGGGACGGGGACGCCATTCTCTCTCTGGGGCTGTCACTTGTCCACTAGAGGCCGCGCGGCCCGGCCAGCCGAGCCGGCCCGGTGGCCCTGCCGGCCGCGCTGAGCGGGACCAGTCAGCTGATGGACAAGTCCCCCTCCACCGCGCGGCGTGTCTCGGCCGCCTCGGCCGCCGCGCCTGCCAGGCAGGCCCTGCCTCGCTTGTTGCTGCGGCGTCTGTCAATAGCCGTCCGCGATAAAGGCAATGCTGTTGCGTTATTGTGACAAACTAGAGCCGCGCGCCGCTCATCTCGAAAGGTTGCCGCACGTTTTCCCTGCTTTCGCCGACCGCTTCCCGCGCATTGTTATCTACACACTGCCCCTTCCCTGCGAGCCAGTCCCGCCCCGCCGGCCCGCCGAGTCACGCCCAAAACCCTTGGCACGCCGCTCCCCGTCCGGGCGAGAGCGAATTCAGTGCGAAGCAGTGCGACGCAGTGTCACGTTGGCCGGACTGACGGACTGACGCGCGGCGTTGCCTCTGCGCGCGTTGCCGCGTTATCAGTCGCTACTGACCCACATAACAGTTTCGCACGCCACTTCTCTCTCGGAAACATCGGTCTAAATGGGGGAACTCGGGGAGCGGCAACTACTATCGGGCACCGCGTGCGAAAGCGTGCGCTCCATGTGCCACTTCGTAGTGTGGTGGTAATTGGCGGACGATATGCAGGACGCGTAGGACGCGTGGAGTCGGCAGAAAAGCCGGCATCGGAGTGTGAACTACCTCCACTACCTGTTTTTGGCGTGGAAAGGAGACATTCACCCGCGGCCGGGCAGTTAGTGTCATCGACTTGAAACTCGCAAAAAAAATGACCAAAAGTTCAGAAAAAAAAATTGTTTCCACACGTTTATTATTCACAAATCACAGGCTCGACTGTTTTGCAATTCAAAACAGATCTACGCACAGAACCGACCACATAATAGCACAGTGTACATTATTAGTTTACAAAAAAGTCAATCGACACAGCGCAAAATATCAGTCAAATTAGCTGGCGGCGGGCTGGCACGGATTTGTGCCACACTCGCGCGGACCGCTACCCTCAAAGAAATAAGAACCAAGAGATAGTAAAAGTTAGAAGTAAACTCGACAAGTCATTAGTTTGTTTCGGCCCTTTTCAGGTGCACAGGTGGGGTGGACACAAGAACGATACATTGCGATGTAGTACGTGCACCAGCGAAGCACCGCTATTTGGCCCGCGGACCCCGTTCGGAAAGCTGAAGAGTCTGTTTCGTAGCTTTCGGGGCTTCAGGACGGGAAGGACACGAGGACGGTCTCTCTCCGGGGCGCCGCGGAGGAGTTCCTCCTGGGGGTTGGCAACGCCGTGGGCCGTTGCTGCTGTTGCAGTTGTTGCTGGACGTTTTCCGAGAGCCGCCGGATGGTGCGGCCTCCCTGCTTCGGCTGCTGAGGTGGCGATTGTTGTTGCTGCTGCAGGGCTTGTTGCTGTTGGGGCACGGGGCGCTGGACCAGGACCCTCCGGACCGGCTTGGCGCGCCCCTCGCCGCTGTCCTCGATGTCGGGACGTCCTGGACCCTCTGTTGCCTGGCGCAGAGGCTCCCGAGTCCAAGGCAGCCCCCGACCTGAGGCCTGGACCCCCTGTGCAACAGCCAAGCGGCACCGTCAGGCAGGCAATAACACAACCATTAACGAAAATTTTGAAATTTCTAATTCGTTACTTCTGACAGTCACTTCTTGCAAGAAGGGTAAGCATACACTGTTATTCCTGGGTGTTCAATAACTAAGCGCCTTAAGGCGTTTGCCTCAAAAACCTAGACGCCTTGATGCGCTTAGTTACTCAACGCCTAAGGCGTTTAGTTACTCAACGCCTAAGGCGTTGAATTACAAGACACCTTTGCTTGGCCTGTACCCACCACAACAGCAGTGGGAGTACTAATGCAATACAAGCTGCCTCTTTCCATTGCCTCAAGGCGTCTAACTACTATACGCCTTCCAAGGCGTTTAACTGCTAGACACCTTGGAGGTGTGCAGAGGCTGAACAGCTTGACTGTCTTTGAATACAGCCATGCCATCCCTTGTTTGAACCAAGGTGTTTAGCAGCTACGCACCTTTGAAGGTGTCTTACCATTAAACGCCTTGCAAGGCGCGCAGCAGTTAAACACCTTGACACAATGGGCCAGGGCAGCCTGCACTGCTAATGTATGCATGGAGATTTGTCCATATTTTTCCATTTGTTTTAATAAGCTACACATACCTGTCAAAAATTAGTTTATGATGCTGAGTTGTCAATATCCAATTAAGGATGGAGACGGCTGTTGTCAATACGTGTGACCAAACCGCAGAATGTTTTTGTCAACGAATAGCAGTCATCACTTAATATTGTCCTAAAATTAACTTGAGTCTTATTGTTGGTTGCAAAGTAAATTAACACAAAGGCGGCAATATAAATTTGGCCTTGAAGGAAAGAAGCACAAATATAAGTCCTTTTCTCCATTGTGAAGAATCCACAATGGACCAGGCGCTGGTGAGGTTGGGCTGCCCCAGTAGATGGAGACATTTTCAGAGTTTAGAGGCGTGTCAACATATGTGACGCAATGTCACATCCCCTTCGTTCGATTCGATTCATGATTTCACTGCCACGAAGCGCTCAAATTCGTGTGCAACAGTCTAAAAACGAAATAAACCGAGCCAAGAAGCACACACGAACTCGCACGTAAACATTTGCGATGCAACAAACAAAATGCTGCCAACCTATGAAATAAAAAGAACGTCTGTTTTTTTTTCGTTCTTGTCTTTTCATTTCATAGGTTAGCAGCATTTTGTTTTGTTGCGTCTCAAATGTTTACGTGCGAGTTCGTGTGTGCTTCTTGGCTCGGTTTATTTCGTTTTTAGACTGTTGCACACGAATTTGAGCGCTTCGTGGCAGTGAAATCATGAATTGAATCGAACGAAGGGGATGTGACAGTGCGTCACATATGTTGACACGCCTCTAAACTCTGAAAATGTCTCCATCTACTGGGGCAGCCCAACCTCACCAGCGCCTGGTCCATTGTGGATTCTTCACAATGGAGAAAAGGACTTATATTTGTGCTTCTTTCCTTCAAGGCCAAATTTATATTGCCGCCTTTGTGTTAATTTACTTTGCAACCAACAATAAGACTCAAGTTAATTTTAGGACAATAGTAAGTGATGACTGCTATTCGTTGACAAAAACATTCTGCGGTTTGGTCACACGTATTGACAACAGCCGTCTCCATCCTTAATTGGATATTGACAACTCAGCATCATAAACTAATTTTTGACAGGTATGTGTAGCTTATTAAAACAAATGGAAAAATATGGACAAATCTCCATGCATACATTAGCAGTGCAGGCTGCCCTGGCCCATTGTGTCAAGGTGTTTAACTGCTGCGCGCCTTGCAAGGCGTTTAATGGTAAGACACCTTCAAAGGTGCGTAGCTGCTAAACACCTTGGTTCAAACAAGGGATGGCATGGCTGTATTCAAAGACAGTCAAGCTGTTCAGCCTCTGCACACCTCCAAGGTGTCTAGCAGTTAAACGCCTTGGAAGGCGTATAGTAGTTAGACGCCTTGAGGCAATGGAAAGAGGCAGCTTGTATTGCATTAGTACTCCCACTGCTGTTGTGGTGGGTACAGGCCAAGCAAAGGTGTCTTGTAATTCAACGCCTTAGGCGTTGAGTAACTAAACGCCTTAGGCGTTGAGTAACTAAGCGCATTAAGGCGTCTAGGTTTTTGAGGCAAACGCCTTAAGGCGCTTAGTTATTGAACACCCAGGAATAACAGTGTACCCAGCCAGTATTGGGTGTTCGAGAAGGCATTAATAGAGTTTTCATCGATTCTACGTCGAATCTAAGTCGTTTCGAACACCTAATTCTGGCCGGCTAGACGACCCAAAAAGTACTCAACATAAATTCTATAGCGACTTCAGGAAAAGAAACTAAAAATGTCTCAAAAGTTTTCTTTCCAAAGAAAAAAATTACAGAAAACACGCTCTCTACGTCTACAAAACAATGACAAGTTAATCGTTTTGCCGAAATGACACGATGACCAATGAGATTGAACGATGAAACATGATTAAATTATAAACTAAACTTTTATCTTAAAACGAAGTAGAGTAACTTTACCTCCATATGTGAAATTATGATGATTGACTGTTTAAATGTGGATGTCGATGAAATGGGTGAGTTTGTTTAGTGTCTGGTGGGAATGCAGGGGAAAACCATGCTACATGCACAAACAAGTTATCATCCGGAGAAAAATGACTTTGCTCTGCAACTCACTAGGATATAGCCATACATTGCCTTTGAGGGAAGTTCTGGGGAGGGTGCATTTCCTCTTCGAAACGAGATCCACAATTCTAGAACCACCAGCAACCTGATTCTAACAACTAATTAAAGAAAGCAGCCCAGTTTCGGTCGAAAAACCGATAAAAGGAGGGACATCAAAATGCAGTAAGAACCCACTCAAAAACTGGTATCATTCAGCTTCACGCCAGCTCCCGTCACCGAATAAAACCTCAAAAAAGGAGAGAAAAAGATCCCTTAATCGTTACTTCTGTCTGAAAGGACGCGCGCGTTGGTGTCCTCGAGTCGACGACGGCGCTGGCGCGTGCTGGCGCGCTGGCGTGCAAGAGGCGTGCACATGCGCGTCTGTACGCACCTACACAGGGGCGCGAGGCAAGGCCTGCAGGGCGGGGCGTAGCGGGGAGCGGGGCAGGCGACTGCCAATGCCCTGGGCAAGGCCCTGGGCAAGGCCTTGGGCAAGGCCACTGCCGGGGCCGCGGGACAACAGGCGGTGAATGTCGGAGGGCCGCAGCAGCTGTCCAACACCACCATTTGAAAAGAAATCACGCCCCGCGGATTCGAACACGAGTCAACCACAAGTGGAAATAATGACAGTGGGCCGCGGAACTGGTCCGCGTCGTCTTAAGACACTTCATTAGTATTGTTTTTACTCTGACGAACTCTACAAACTACCTCAAACGTTCGTTAAAGTTTGTTATGCTGGACCACACTGAGCCTGGGACGGCGCCCCGTGCCAGGAGCGTCGTCCGCGGCGTGTTAGATGAGTGCGGCTGTTAGGCGGGCACTGGAAGCACCCGCCAAAGCGCGCGCAAGTCGTAGTCACCTCAATGAGTCAGACTGGGTTAACTCCGCGGCGCCTTGTTAAACCACCTAGCAAACCTAGACACCTAGACACGAAGCACAACAACGTTAGAAGTGGAAGAGGTGTGGCGACTGCCCTGGTCCGGTTTACTTTTAATCACTTCTTTCTACCCCACCCATTTTCGTCGACTAAAAGACACTCAGTGATAGATTAAAGGATTTTTGGTTTCAGGATTTTTGAATTTGAGTTCAGCAGCTATCACCCAAAACAAAGCCAATAACAAGCAACCGAAATGGAATTAATACACTCGCTGCGGTGACGGGAGGTCCGTGGCTGGTGGCGCCTGTATGCCTCCACAGTAGATATAAAAATGAACGAGGCACAACTGACATCCGCGCGGCTAGCATACCCTTATATGATAGATAATTCAGAAACAATCTGCTCCGCAAGATTAAGAAACTAAAACCGCGAGAAGTGATACAGATCAGCCAAACGAAGTCGTAAACAACAAATGCATGCCTCAGCCAAACCGAGAGAGTACCAAATCCGAGAAGCGTGTTTAGGCGGATACAAGGTATGGGCAACCCGCGGCGCGACGTCACCCATCCTACTTGGCCGTTCACAGATGGTCAGCCGTGCCTCACAGCAGCAAGCAGGGACAACGAACACGCACAGAACAGGAGCCCACCTGGGGCAACGCCAGGCAACGCCAGGCAACGCCTCGCCCTCAGGGCCGGCCTGGCCGGGGGCCGCGGGGCAAGTCAGGCGAGTCAGGCCGGGGGCTGGGCCGGGCCTCTAGGCCGGGCCGGCTGGGCTCCCTTGCCCGGAGCCAGGCTGCGAGGCTCTGCGAGGCCGGGCCACCGGCAGCCACCGGGCCGTGGCGAGTCGCACCAGTTGCTTCGCTCGCTTGCTCCGCTTGCGCCGCTCGCTCGCTACCTCTTGCGGCCGGCCTTCCCCTTCCCCTTCTTGCGCTGAAAATCAAGCATTAGTCACCCTGTGCAATGGCGCGGCGTGGCGTGGTGTGGCGGTTAATTATTTTACAAGGGAGTTCCCATTCTTTTCCTGGCTCAACATGGCCGAGGCTGCAGAGAGAGAGAGAGAGGGCCTGGGCGAGCGAGATGGCGAAAAGGGGGGCCGTTTTGATGAGATCGGACTAATGAGGCTGAATTTTGGAAGTCAGAAATTAGTTTATAATTTTTGCGCCGTTTTCTTCGTTCTGACGCACCAAATAATTTGGAAGAAAAGCGTTGAGCTACGACGGAACTTTACGCAAGGGCGTCTGGACAAGCAAGGTCAAAGTCCAACTGAATTCGCCCTCTCGCGCTCGCTTTCGCCAAACCAGCGAACACGAATAGAAACAACAAAAAAGCAGCCCCCTCCCAAAAAAATGAACGAAAGGACTTTGCTCCTCCAACATGCTGGAGGAGTGTTCGCTGGCGACCCCCTCATTTATTGATTTACTTTCTACGACAAGGACACTGACTTCACAGAATGAAAAGCTTGCCAAGCCACATCCCCACGTTACTTACGGTGTGCTGGGCAGGCGGCCCTGGCCAAGGCCCTGGCGACCCTGGCGGGGCGGTTGGGGCGGGGCTTAGAGCTAAGGGCGTCATCACTTGACTGTCACTAGGACACCACACAAGCCGCATTTGCTGCGTCCACCTATTGCCACACCACAGCGCACGGTTAACGCTGGCAGGGAGGGGGCCGGGGCGCGGCGCGCACTTCGCTCAGCCAGCAACGCGCGCGCCCCGGCCGCCCCGAGGAGAGGAAGCTCAGCCCGCGGTCGGCTAGGGGCCGCGTGTAGGGGCGGGTGAGAGTGTCTGGTGATTTCCAAATGTATCCAAGACTTTGCGTCTACAGGGGCTCTACGGGCAGGGGGCCTGGCCCCAGAGGGAAGCAGCAACAACTTCATTTTCAGGCACGACCTGCCTTGCTACCACCGACCGCGTAAATTGCCGTGTGTAAGTACAGTCCGACTGGGGACCGTCCGAAACTGGCCAACAAGACAAAACGTACGCACAGTCACTGTGTTCTGAGCAGGCTGAAGTCGAACAGAGAAATTACGGCGAATGGAAGGACGGCTCTGGAGACTTCAAGCCTCAGCCAAACCAGTTTGCGTGTTCAATTTAAAGTTTTTGTCTTTGCTTCCCCCTGGGGTTCCCGGCCCGATTAGAATCAAGGGAAGGCACGGGTCTGTCGTGCTGGGGACCTACCTTCCGCTCTTCCGGTTCGGGGTTGGGCGCCTTCTGCTGTTGTGGTTGTGGCTTGTTGGGCTGCTGCTGGATCTGCTGCGGCTGCTGCGGCTGCTGCGCGGGCGGCTGTGCGGCTGGCTGCTTCTGCGGTGGCGGCGGCGGCTGCGCGGGCTGCGGCACGGCTTGCTGCTGCTGCAGCGGAGTCGACTGCTGCTGTTTCTGCGGCTGCACCGCGGCCACGGGGATGCTGACGGGAGGCTGCACCACGCCGTTCACGGCTCTATCCTTGGACGCCAGCTCGAGATGCAGCCTGAAAGCCACGCGGGGCAACAGCATGCTCAAAATGCACATAATTTCGTCCTTCAAACCGAGTGAAACACGCCCCACCTCCTGTTCTCCTCCTGCAGGCGGTTGACGGCGGCCTCCCTGTCGGCGACCTGGCGCCGCAGCTCCGTCTCGTGGGGGCCGTGGCGCGCGCGCACCGCGTCGCGGAGGCGCCCGATCTCCTCGTCGCGCATCAGCAGCGCCCTCTGCATCTCCGTGATGTCGCCGGGCCGCTGCGACGGAGAGGGCAAGTCGTTATTGGCAGTGCCGCAGTGCAGTGCATTGCAGTGCAGCCAGTGCAGCGCAATGCAGGGACCCACCTTGGCCGTCTCCCTCAGCTTGCCGATCTCCTCGTCCTTGCTGGCGAGGGTTCTCTGCAGCTCGGCGAGCCGGGCCGCGTCCGCCGTCGCCTTGTCCGCGAGGGCCTTGTGCAGCTGGGCGGCCTCGGCGGCGGCCTTGGCCAGCGCGGCGTCCTTCTGCGCCAGGGCCTTCTTGAGCTCCTCGACCTGCACAAGCGGCGATTAAGCACCATGGCCGCGAGCGCGTTGACGCGATCCCTCACGCCGCCGCACCGACCTGCGCCGCGCTCTGCTTCAGCTTCTTGCCGCCCTCCTCACGCTGCTTCAGCTTGGCGATGGCGTCCTCCTTCTCGGCGAGGGCCTTCTTCAGCTCGCCCAGCGAGTCCCTGGCCTGCGACGCCTCCCGACGCGCCCTCTGCAGCTCGGCCTCCTTCTCCGCGGCCTCCTGCACCTTCTTGCGCAGCGGCGACAGCTCCTCGTTGTGCAACCTGAAGCAGGCAGTGACTTTAGAGCAGCAGCGCGAACGCGACTCCGCGACGGGGGACTAGACCGGGGAGCGCCTGCGGTGCGGGCGGTAGGCAACCCACCACACTGCCGGTCCCGTCCGTCCGTGAGGTAACTCAAATTTGCTCTGTTGCCGGTCGTGCCGCTGGACAGACCTGTGTATTTCGAGGTCCTTCTCTTTGAGCAGCTTCCGCAGCTCGTCCAGCTTCTGGGCGTCCTGGGGCCGGGGGTTGCTCTGGGACTTCCGCAGCGCCGCGTCCCGGTCCTTGAGGGCGGCCTCCTTGACTCGCATCGCGCCGTCCCTCTCCTTGAGGGCGGCCTCCTTGTCACGCTGCAGGCTGTCGCGCTCTGCCGCCGCGGCCTGGAATAGGGGGTCAAATTGTAGTCAACCAAAAATGAGACCTTGCACTGCGCCACTGCGGCTGGCTTCGACACCCACCTTAAGCTGGTCGGCGTGCGACCGCCGCAGCCCCTCGGCCACGGTCTTGTACTCCGTGACGGCGTCCTTGAGTTGCTGCAGCGCGGCGGCGTCCTCCGGCCGCGGCGACGCCCGGAGCCTCTCCAGGGCGGCGTCCTTGGCCACCAGGTGCGGCGCAGGTCCTCGATCTGCGCGCGGTCGTCGGGCCGCTCCTTGAGTCTGCCGGGACACCGAGGACGGCCGTTCAGTTTGACAGTGTGAGGACGGAGGCGAGGCCGGCTGCACTCAGAGTAACGAGAACGCCGGCCGGGGAGGGGAGTGACTAGGTATTTATCCAGGCCTCGAGCGTATGCCAAAGGAAGACGTACAGCGTCCCCGCCAGGGCCGCGGGGCGGAGCCATGGCGGAGCCGAGCCGAGCGCCGCCAGCCTTGTGCGTCAAACGCGCGTGAAAAATGTGTGTATCCAGCCCGCCAGCCCGCCAGCCAGCCAGCCAGCCAGCTCCCTTTCCCCGAATAGGACTCCTCTAATCCCGCACGTCTTTTTGTTTCCGCCGAAGCGGCGCGCGGCGAAAGGAGAAAGGGCGGCGAAGCCGAAGGGGGAGGAGAAGGGGGTCAATGTCCCGGCCAGGCCGGCCAGGCCCAAGGCCGCCGCGGACGGGCGGGCCGCCCAGACCGAGCAGCCAGCAGCATCCAGCCCATGGGAGCCATTGACGGCGCGGCGCAGCCTCGGGGCGCAGCGGACCGCCGCCGGACCGGCGGAGGCACGCAAGTGTCGCGCCGCCGCAGGGCGGTTACGGTGCCGCGGGGGCCGCGGGGGCCGCGGGGGCCGCGGGGGCGCTGATAGTCCAGGCTCAGGGCCAGAGGCTCGGCCCGATCGGCCAGGGGGCCATCCCATCCAGGAAGTAAAAGGACTCGGACATCCGGGACCCCCTGGACCCCCTGGACCCCCTGGACTCCCTGGACCCGCAAGGCCACGGCGACGGCGCGGCCCCGGCCGCCCTGCCGGCCCTGCGCCAGAGATGTAAATCATGATAACATCAGGTGGCTTTTTTCTGCTCTCGCCCACTTCCGCGCCACCCCTCCCCTTCCCCTCCGGCCTGACAGTTCCGTGCTGCGAATCATTTTACGGCGATGCGAGTGGCCGAGGTGGGGGTGGGGGAGTGCGGCGGGTCCAAAAAACTTGGAGATAAAATGGAGTGAGGGAGGGCGCCGCGCAGCCGCCGCCTTGGCCTGCCTACGGTCGCGCACTCCAGCCAAGTTGTCCCGGCCGGCTCCACCGCCCGGCTCCACCACCCACCTCGCCCCGGCCTCGCCGCGCCACGCTTCGCCACTCCCCGTACGCCCTCGCCTGGCCCGGCGGCCCGGCGGCCCGGCCCCGGCCGGTCAAAGGAAACTTGCCCAACTGCTCCTGACCCATTTTCCACGTGGTCTGGTCTCGACGACGGCCATCCGGGAGGGTCTGCGGGGGGTCGGCCAAGGATCGGCGAGGACGGTGGAGTTGGAGTGCTAGTGCCCGTAAAGGTGCGTCCCATTGACAATGAGTCCGCGCGAGAGCCCCGCCAGCGCCAGCGGGGCGCCAAACGGGCCGCCAACGACCCGGCCCCGGGTTCCAATACCACCACTCTCCGACTTTTATTCCAACCCCTTCCCGTGCGCGCGTCCCCGCTAAGTCCGCTGTACTCACTGCGACGTCAGCGACTCGACGCGCTGCTGCAGCTTGGCCACCTTGTCCTCGGCCTCCTTGGTGAGCTCCGCGCGCAGCTTCCTCTTGTCCTCCTCCGCCTGCTTCCTTGCCTCGGCGAGCTCTCTCTCTTTCGCTCTGGGGGAAGGGCAAGGGTGAGTGAGTGAGAAGGGTAGAAAGAAGAAGACGAAGAAGACGTGAGGACGAGGCGGGTGACGTTGTCCAGCCGGTCTCCACGGCGGACTCGGAATGAGGGTTATTGTGACGAAAGCAGACAGGCAGACAGCGCCTCTCATGAATACATATCATTTACCACAGAATGCCTTTCGTACGGCTGCAATGTATTTGCTCAGAGAAAATGAGAAACACACACTGCATACACACACAAAATCGGGGAAGTTACATAGAGAAGGAATGGCAGCGGACAGGGCTAAGAACTACGAGAAGGGAATGGCAAAGGAGGCTACACTACAGACAATCACAACATTCACATAATCTAGTGTTTCACATATCAAAAATTCTATTTATTTTAAAAAAGTACGAAAGTAGTAAAGTAACTGAGCATGTCTCGGTGATAAAGTTAAGACCGAACCCCACGCCTAAACCTTAAGTGAGCGCATTCAATTTTTTTTTTAAATCACAGAAGCGAATATTGAGCACGTGGCCCAACCCGACTGGTGCCAAGCCAAGCAAAAACGGTGCGAGTGTGCGTGCGGTGACTCCGTGTCGTTGTTAATGGCGCCGATGAGTCAGGCAAAGATGAAGTGGTGCCGTCGGAGGGATGGAGGAAGGAGGACTGGCGGGGGTCACAGGACCTGGAACAGGAGCACTGCGAGGGCGAGCAGAGAGCAGGCGAAGGTGAGTTCGTTGGCGGCCGACAGCCACCAGCAGAGGACGGACGGCAGGAAGAGGGTGCACGCCAGGGAGTCGCACACCCGCGCCTCGCTTGGGGTTCAAAAAACCAAAAAGGAAGAACAAAATGGACCATGCTCAGTGCGGGCGCGGAAATAGTTGGTCCGAGTGTGTGACACACCGTGTGTGCGTGAGTGCGAGAGAGAGAGAGGGAGGTTGTACCTGACGTTCCTGGTGGCCTCCTCCTGGAGCTTGAGGAGGGCCTCCTTGTGGCTGCTCCCCGCCTGCTTCAGCTCCGTCTGCAGACTGGCCACCTGCAGCGCCAGCTGGAACAAAAGGAATGTGTTTGCCGCGAAAGCCGCCGAAAGCGGTGCCCCTTGCGGCCGCCTGCGCACGACAGCTTGTCTGGGAACACGCTGCGCGCATGTGTGTGTGTGTGCGTGCGTGTGTGTGAGTCGACGTGGGGCTGCTGTGTACGTCTTACCTGCTCCTGCTTGGGCTCGGCCTCCTTAGCCACCTCCAAAGCCTGGGATAGTTGGCTCACCTGAGCCTGTAGCCGCCGCTTCGCCTGCACCTGCTCCTCTGTTCGAAAAAAAGGGGGGAATGTTAAACCAAGAAAAGGTCGCTTCTTTGGCGAGTCCGTTTGTTGTTTCTTGCGGCGCTCCATCGGGTGGAGTCCACCGGGTGGAGTCCACGCCCAAAGGCGCACAGTGGGGTCATTCCATGCCAACTCGACAGGGCTCGGCCCGACACCTTGTCGGAGGGCATCGCCATAGTGGGCTTGTTGGCCTTAGGGTACCTTTGAAGACCCCAACTCAGTTTTTCGAAATCTGCCCCGGGCTCCGAACTAGGGCCCTGATAAGTTTTTCAATACATGACGACATGGGTGCACTAAAATGAAATTATCTCGGCAACCGTTCGTCGTATCTCAAATCCGAGACCACCATTGGAAAGAGGGAAAAAATTACACAAAAAAATTTTTTTGGGTTAACTTTAAAAAAAATTTATTGAAATTTCAAAAAGGTGAAATTTTTAAAGTGTGATATCTCAAAAACCCATATTTTAAAATCTCTAAAAAAATTTCCCAAAAATCTACCTTTATTTATCATCTAAAAGAAAAGCTCAACCACCCAAAGTATTATTCTTCTTTAGGAGAACGAGCAATTCGCGTGGGCCTCTGCAAACCACTTTTCCCTATTTTTTGAGTGGTGCGCCGGCGTGGCTATGGGGCCCACCCCACACACCCTGGCACTGGCGGAGGTGCTGTTCTTCGCGTGGAATGCCGAACCACAAAACCCGGGTACTTCAATCATGGTAAAGCGCCTGCCAGGTGGCAGTGGGAGCCACGCAGCGCAGCCCGGGCGAGGGGGGGTCCCCCGAAAAAATTTCCGGGTTAGGGCACATAGCAATTAAGATTGGGGGGAGAAGGGACAGAGGGCCGGATGGGCCAAGGGATACCGTTCCAAGGGGGGGCCCCCACGCAGGGGCTCGGGGGTCGGGGGATCGGGCGGCCGGGCCCTGGGACTCGGGGCCCCCGGGGGCCCCTTTGGGGCCCAAACCCCTTTAAGCCAAAACAAAACCCAATTTGAAACTGAAGTGTAAGTAAGAATTTAGCACTTGCTATCATTTAACATACCAACCCCGAATGAATTTCTCGTTAAGCCAAAAAGAGTGAATTGCAATCCCCAACGGAAAAAAAACTAGGTTCGACAAAACAAATGCGAAATTTTCGGAGCCAAGGGGTTCAAAATTCTTTCCCTCATTTTTTAAGGGGGGAACAAAAGGAAAAAAAGCTTGAACCGAGGGAGTTTTCACCGGGGGGCCGGTTTTTAAAGGGCGATTGTCCCATTAAAGGGTTATAAACCCTTTTTTACTGTAGAATGTCCCCTTATTTGCGTGCACAAGCTGTACACTCTTTTTACGTAGCCCCAAATGCTTTAAATAAATTCTTTAAGGATGTTTTTTAAAGGGCTTAAGAGTCATGGTTTTTTCCCCCCCTTCTTTCAGGTAACAAACCTAAATGCGCATCCGGAATTTAACTTTGGGGGGAAATGGAAGTTTGGGGTTTTTCCCGGGTTTTTAGTGGTTCGAATTTTTTTTTCCACTGCCACAATGGGTTGGGAAAAATAAGGGGCTGGGGAGCCGAGCGCCCGGGACCGTGCCTGCCCGCATCTGCCCGTACTTGCCCGCACTTGCCCACATGCGTGTTCGAGTCTCGACCCGCCTTCGGATGATGCGCCCGTACCTGCCCGTGCTGTGCCCATCCTGTGCCCGTGCTGTGCCCTTACTGAGCCCGCACACGCCCGTGCTGTGCCCAGATATGCTCAGGCTGTGCCCGTAACGGGCGCGAAATCTCTTTGTCTGGGGAGGCCTGCCCGTCAGACCGGGCTGCGCTGCGTGGCTCCCACTGCCTACCTGGCAGGCGCTTTACCATGATTGAGAGTACCCGGTTTGTGGTTCGGCATTCCACGACGAAGAACAGCACCTCCGCCAGTGCCAGGGTGTGTGGGGTGGCCCTATAGCCACGCCGGCGCACCACTCAAAAGAAAATAGGGGAAAAGTGGTTTGCAGAGGCCCACGCGAATTGCTCGTTCTCCTAAACGAAGAATAATACTTTGGGTGGTTGAGCTTTTCTTTTAGATGATAAATAAAGGTAGATTTTGGAATTTTTTGAGAGATTTTAAAATATGGGTTTTTGAGATATCACACTTTAAAAGTTACACCTTTTTTGAAGTTTCAATAAATTTTTTCAAAGTTAACCCAAAAAAATATTTTTTTGTGTAATTTTTTCTCCTCTTTCCAATGGTGGTCTCGGATTTGAGATACGACGAACGGTTGCCGAGATAATTGCATTTTAGTGCACCCATGTCGTCATGTATGTGAAAAACTTCATCAGGCCGTAGTTCGGAGCCCGGTGCAGATTTCGAAAAACTGAGTTGGGGTCTTCAAATGGTACCATAAGGCCAACAATTGCCCACTATGGCGATGCCCTCCGACAAGGTGTCGGTCCGAGCCCTGTCGAGTTGGCATGGAATGACCCAGTGGCCAGAAGACCGACGGAGGCGTCCAAAACTCTTGACGCGCTTTGAGCTCCAGAGTCGCTAAGCAGGGCTCGAATTGAACGTGTGACCCCACCAATGGATTCCTCGTTCGGAGAGCGATCCATTGGTGGGGTCACACGTTCGGTTCGAGTCCCACTTAGCGACTCTGGAGCTCAAAACGCGTCTAGAGTTTTGGCCGCCTCCACTGGTCTTCTGGCCCACTGTGCGGCGGCTGGAGTCCTCGCCCAAAGACGCCCAAAGGCCCAACCCACCGAGCTTGCGGCGGTGCTGGTCGGCCAGTTGCTCCTGCGCGGCCTCCGAGTCGCGCCGCATCTGCTCCTTGACCAGCTCCAGGGTGGCGCGCGTGGACGCGCTCTGCAGCTGGTAGCCCTGCTCGCACGCCGACATGCGCTTCTCGTGCTCCGCCCGCAGTTTCTCTGAAAGACCGGGTCGGAAAACAGTTCATTAATGTTTTGAAGAAAAGAATAGTGAACGAACGTGTTGCCGCTGGTGGTGGTAGTCGAACCCACGCACCGAGTTCCTCCTCGTGCCGCTTGCTCATGGCTTCGATCTGCTCCTGGTACTTGAGGTCGATCTTGTCCAGCTGGCGGCGCAGCCCGAAGACGTCGCGGTCCGCGCTGGTCTGCAGCCGCTCCAGCTCGCGGTTCAGCTGGGCCTCCCTCTCCGTCAGCTTCTGCGTGAGCGTCTCCACCTGGGCCGCCGTAAACCAGCAGGGTCAGATTGAAAGAAAATGGGGATGGAACCGCCGGGACTCGAACGCGCGTCGCGGGTGGCTCACCTCGGCGTTGGCGATGTCCAGGCTCTTCTGCAGCTGCTTGCGCTGCCGCTCCGCGTCCTGGCCCAGCTCGTGCGCCTGGGCGTGCAGCGCGGCCACCTTGTCCTCGGCGTGCGCCTGCTCTAGGTCCGCCTGCAGTCGGATCACCTCCACGTGCATGCGCGCCTCCCACTGCAAGCAACCAGACCCGGGTTCGATTACTGCTCCCTCTTGCCATTTTTTCTCCTCGCCCCTTCCGTCTCATTTTCCAGCGAGGGTCTGTTAATCGCACATTGGAAGGTACGCGCGATAAGCAGACTAACGAAGTGAGGGGAGCATCGGTAGTTTATGGCCGTGCCCACGCCGTGCCTCGGCCCGGCTTCCCGTTTTTGCGAGATTTAAATGCGTCCGGGCTCCTCATACTGGGCGCCATAAAACGAGGACAGCCCCGCGCTTGTAAAAGCATTACTTTGGCGCTGCCCCCGCCTCCCCCAGCCTCGTCTCGAGGGTGCCGCTCTCTGCTGCTTGCTCGTGCTGCACTGCAAACAGGCGTGCTTGTAACTGAAGAGGACTTGTTGCATGTTGAGTGGTTACTGGCGGCGCTGCCTCGCCGTGCGCTGGTTGCGATGCGTCGTCCTGCCGCGGACGCACGCGTCGTGCAACCTTTCTGTTTACCCTGTCCCCTCGCTTGTGCCGGCCGCGCCGCCCCGGCCTGCACGGAGTGCGTTGAGAACGCACACCGCGTGGACCTGGGCCACGCGGCGGCAGAACCGGCCCACCGGCCCACCGGCCCCGCACCGTTTCTCGTATTTATAGCCTCGCCACATCGCCACTCGCCGGCCGCGGCAAAGTTCTTTAAGGTGGTCGGCCGCCGTGCAGTCGAGTGCCTGCACCAGTTTCAAGGAACGTGCGGCGTTTGTTGGGGCGTACCTGCTCCGCTGTGCTCTTCTTGGTCTGCTCGACCTTGGCTTGGCATTCCCGCTCCGTCTCGGCCAGGTCCGTGGCGTGCCGCTCCTGCGGTTCAAACACCAAGACACTGTACTTTTGTGGACCGAAGAAGTCGGCCAAACGCACTCCCATTCCAGAAACGTGACATCACGTTGAAAAAATGTGACAAAATTAATGTCGCGTTCCTTTGAGCATTGTGTCACATTCATTCGGATGTGAATCAGCCATGAATAAGGTTATTCACATTCACGGTGTTCACATTCAAACGAATGTGACACAATGCTCAAAAGAACGTGCCATTTTGTCACACTCGCTTAAACGTGATGTCACGTTCCTGGAAAGAGAAAGAGCAGTTGAACTAAGCGCTCACCATGATGGCGTCGATGTGCACCTTCTCCCGGTCCAGCGCGGCGCGCAGCCGGCCCACCTCCTCCTTGAGGACCTTCTCGTTGACCTGCAGCTGCTCCATGTCCCGGGTGTTGAGCCGCAGCGCGCGCTGCTGCTCGATGTTGAGGCCCCGGAGCTGTTCCGTCTCGGCGCGGGCCGCGGCGGCGTGCTTCTCCTGTCAGACGAAAACACGCACTTCACGACCCGTCGCATTTTGGCGGTAACATTGAAAAGTCCTGGAACTCACCGCATTGCTGGCGGTGTCCTCGAGGTTGGTGACCTTGGCCAGCAGCTCGCGCACCGTCTTGTCCTTCTCGTCGACCTTCTTCTTGCTGGCGGCCTGCACCTCACGCAGCTTCCACTCCAGGTCGGCGAGCAGCTGCTGCTCCCTGTCGGCGTGCACGGTGCGCAGCTCCTCGAACTCCTTCTGGAAGCGCGCCGACGTGTCGTCCAGGGCCTCCTCCAGGGCCTCGTCCAGCGCGTCGCGCTCCGCCTCCACCTCGGCCACGGCCTTGGCTAGGGCCTCCTCCAGGGCGGCGCGCTCGGCGCGGGTCTCCTCCAGGAGCTTCTCCAGCTCGGCGACGCGCGCCTTGAGCTTCTCCAGCGCCTCGCTGTCCGCCTTGTCCTGCGCATCTTGCTGCACTGCAATCGTTCAATTAGCACACTTGGAAAGAAGTATAACAACCTTGCTGTGGAAACGGAGACGCCCCGCCGTGCATGCGGGAGGGGGACACTGTTTGCTGACATGGAGCAGCACAGTGAGTCAGGCTAAGAAACCGCGGAACTGCGGATGTTCTCTGGGGATGTTCGGAACAATGGGGACGCTTTAACCGCGGTGCGCGCACGGAAGACTTACGTTTGTCCCCCAGCGTCTTGTTGAGCTCCTCGTTGCTGGTCTTGAAGCCCGCCAGGTCGGCCTCCAGCTGCTTCAACTTCTCCTTGGTGTCCTCGGCCTCCTTCCGCGCCGCGTCCAGGTCGGCTTGGAGCTCTGCGCGGACACGCAGGCGGACGCGCGGACACACAGACGGACAGAGTTATTGGAGATTTCATAATTTGATTCGCGAGGACATTTTCCGTTCGCGCTGCGCTGCGCTGGGGGGCCACCACCACCGCGGGCATTGGGACCAGGGCCGACGGGGGCATAAAGACCTGGAGATGAAAGTAGCCAACTTTACCCCCCCGTTCCCTCTTTCGGCGGGGAGCTCCCTACAGATTTGCTTTCAGCGATGCGCCCGCAGTTCGCCCTTCCCTTCCCTCTCTCAAAGAGATGTATTCTTGATCATCCATGAAGAGACGGGAACATCCCCTACGCCGTCCGCCCGTCTGTCTGTCTGTCTGTCTGTCTGTCTGTCTGTCTGTCTGTCTGTCTGTCTGTCTGTTCGTCTTCATCTCTGCTCGTCGATGCTCCTTGCGAAGGCTCCGGGAGACTCTCACCTCGGTCAGACCTTTATTTCATTTGCGATATGACTGGCCAATCAGCCTTCCCCTTCCCCTCTCCACACCCCTTTCCCCCGTGGAGTCCCTCGGCGAGCGTGGCGTGGCGTGGCGTGGTGGCCCCACAGCAATGCGCAGCTCTCAGTCCTTTCCCTTTTTTCCTTTTGGCCTTTCCCCCTTTTCCTTTTTCCCTTTCTCCGTACGTACTATTCGCAGCTGCCGCCCTTCCCGTGGACTGCTGCTCCAGCGCGGCGAGCTTCTGATGCAGCTGCGTGGCCTCCTGCTCCTTGGCCGAGAGCTTGGCGCCCAGCTCGGCCACCTGCAGCTGTAGCGCCTGCTGCCGCCTGTGCAAACATAAAAACAAACAGCGACCGTGTTACTTGGAAATGAGAGCTGTGCGCTGGCCGCGCGGGCCGAGCGGGCCGGAGGGGCGAGGGACGCGGCGCGGAGGTCGTCGTACCCGTAGTCATGCTCCCCGGGGCCGCCGCCGCTCTGGGGCGCCCTGGACGGCGGCGGGGTGGCGGGCTCGGCCTTGGGGACGGCCTTGGGGACGGCGCTCGCCGCCCGGAAAAAGCTGAACATGGCGCGCGGACCCCGAGGCCGGGGGTACCGACAGTACGGCCAGACGGCCTTCACCGCATGCCGACGGCTGCGTGCGGCTACGTCGAGGTGAGATGGCGGTCGGTGGACGACATTTCGATGCGTATTTTTACTCGCGAATATTTCGTTTCTTTCCGAATCGGCCGAGTGTAAAGATGTCGGCGCGGCGCGGGGGGAGGGGTGCTACACTACAGGACGGCTCGGCGACGCACCGCGGCCACGACGACGGCGAGGCGACTAGCCCCGCGAAGCGCCGCCAAGCCGAACCACCTCAACGGCCGACGCTACGCGGCACTACGCCGCGGGGCGGGGCGGGGCGGGGCGGGGCGGGGCGTGGCGGGGCGTGGGGGGCGTGGCGGCGTGGTGGCTCCGGCCGCGTCCACGCACAGCGGGGAGCAGCGACGGCCTGGCACGCATCTGCACCGGGCGTGGGCAGGGCAGGGACAGGACAGGCCGGGGAGACGGCCGAGATGCTATCGGCCTTCCTGGCCGCGCCGTCAACGCACCTGAAGCACCGCCGCCCGCCCCACTGCCCCGCCAGCTCTGCAGACTGACTGATTCCGAACAGTGCTTTCGCCGCTCGGTCTCTGTCGCAGGGGTAGTTAGGGGTCCGAGAGAGACAGAGCGACAAAGCGCTTTTCGGAATGAGACTACAGCACCGCCCCGCCCCTCCCACGCGTACCCGTCGCAAAGGAATGAAAAACAAATATGAAACTCGCCTGTCCGCCAATCCGCGCCACACCTGCGTGACCCGCCCCGCCCCGCCCCGCCCCGCCCCCACCTGGCCGGCGCCCCACCACACCACTACAGGCCGGGCGCAAAGGAAGGAGCGGTGCGATATTGAGAGGCGCTCTTGTCGGAATGTTGTCGGCAGCGAGCTAGTTTCAGCACTGACAAACCCGCAACCCTTCTACCGCCCCCTCTCTGCCCCCGGCCACCCCCGGTCGCCCCCGCAACCATGAAATACCGCATTGCCGGTGGGGTTCAGTCATGGACAGCCTGTTTACCGCGGCCCCGCCCCGCCCCGCCCGCCCGCCCCGCCCCGCCTCAGACTGGCCTGGGAGATTGCCAACGGCTGTTCTGTGAGGCGCCCCGCCCCGCCCGGCCCCACCGCGCCGCCCCGCGCCACTCTCCACTGTGGCGAACGGTGTGCCAAGCACTCGAAAAGTGTTCCCGCACGCGTTGGGGTGCTGGCGGGTCGGGCCGGATCGGGTCAGCCCTGCCCCTCGCTGCCGGATTAGGCTTGATGCACGCTCATCCCCGGACTCGATGCCCCAAGGCCGAAGGCCGAAACAGCGTTGGAATGCTAGCTATGGCAATAGCAACGCCCCGCGGCAGACAGTTCGACTGCTGCGGCCGAACGCCTGCGGAGTAGGCAAGATAGCTCCGCCAACGCGCCGGCGTGCAACGGGTTGCCTACCCTGGACACCGCAGGGGCTCCGGGCGGGTGGGCGGAAATACGGACGCGTGCCGCCAGACACAGAGACAGACAGACAGGCAGACAGGCAGACAGACAGACAGACAGACAGGCAGACAGGCAGACAGACAGACAGACAGACAGACAGACAGACAGACAGACAGACAGACAGACAGACGTGGCGGGCCTGGATATGCAATGTCCGCCGGCACTCCCATCAACGCAAATTGAAGGGGAGGCCGGATTCCGTCATGCACTTCGGCCGCGCCTTTTTACGATTTATTTATTTTTATTTTACGACCCAAAACGCGGAGTAGTGCTGCTTTTAAAGCGGCGTGTACGTGTCCTCTCCGTCCGTCCGCCCGCCGCCCACGCACGCACGCGCGGGCAGGGCAGGCAGGTAGGGAAACGAGCTACGTGGCTCCCCCAGGAAATCCAGCCGCCGAGATGAAGGCCCGGCGAATGGCCAGCAGAAACCGCGCGGCGGGCAAGGCGGGCAAGGCGGGCAGCGCGAAGGTGGCCGCCGAGGGCAGTAGGCTGCCCATCCGGCCCATCCATAGAACAGTGCGGCGAACGGCCGTGCCGGGATTGGAGCGCCAATGGGGCCGAATGGGGCAGTGCCGGCAGAGCGGAGGGGGAGAGGGCCACTATTTATCGGCCGCCCAGCGTGCGTCAAGTAAGAGTGCACATCACTTGGCTTTGGCGGGCCGGCGGTGCCCGCGGCGCGGCCAGGCGGCGGCCTCTAGCGGTCAGGGGTGGAACCTCGTCCTGGTCTGGCTGCAAGCGGCCCCAAGCGGCGGCAAGCTCGGTGCGGCGCCCGGCCGGACCCCTGGGGGTTGAGAGTCGAGTCGCGAAGATACACACAGCGCCGCGCAACGCCGCGCTTTGGGTCGCTCTGCGCCGCGCAGCCCTGCGCCGACAGCTAGCGCCACCCAGCGGCGGCCCGGGGAACCCGCACAGTGCCGGGCGCCGCAATATCTCAGTGGCATCCTCACCGCCTTCTCAGATTGACGATCACCGCGAACTGCAATCCACTCCGCAAATCGCGCCGCCACGACCAACGTCAACAACGCCGAACGCACCGCCGCCGCCGGGCGGTGGTTACTTTTCCTCCTGCTTAAAACTCGAAGTCCGCTGCTCCAAGAAAACTGAATCTTTTCCCCACTTTGGCGGGAAGGAAGATGGGAAAGCCGTTCTGCGATAATTTATTTCCCCGGAGGAAGTCAGCTTAAAGTCGGGGCCCTGAGAAAACGGGCAGCAGGCCGTGCGCCTCCATAAAACCGTCGCCAGAACCAAAACAAATCACTCACCCTCACCAGACGCGCCCCGCCGCGCCCCGCCGACCACGTGACGCCGACACTGCGAAATGGATTAATCCCGACGAACGGCAGCGGCATCAGCACGTCGACGGGGTGCGGACAGATTGCGTGTGGGTCCGCGTCCCACCGCGCCCCGCGGCACGCACGCCGGCCGGGGCGGGGCGGGGCGGGGTCCTGGCCGCGGTGGCGGGAGAGAGGCTGTCATGTTGCAAGGGGGTGGCGTGCCAATCAATTTAGCGTCAATGTGCCAACAGCACCGTCAGTACCGCCGCCCAAGCTAACCGCTACACTCAGACGCAGTGACGGAGGCCAGGCACGGCGTACGCGCGAGGCGACGACGTGGTGGCGGGAGGGGAGGGGAGGGGTAGAAGGCGCGCCGGGAGTCGATCGCTGGACCCTGACCACACACGCCTCCAATCTCTCGGCCAACGGAGGTGATGTGGGTTGGGTACTCACTCTGTAGTAATTTATACCGGCTCTGTTGGCCGAGAGACTAGAGGCTGTGGTCCCATTGCCAAAGTCCGGTGATCGACTCCCAATATTTCTAAACTTCTTTTCGACTGGATATCCCCCTCATGGCTTCGTAACAAAGGCTCCGCAAAGGAAGGTCTCGACGTAGCACAGGCCGGCGTTCGATGACTACCAGCATATCAAATTTTTTTCGGCCTCGATGCTGAGCCGGCTTATGTGTAGAAGATTATGTAGAGTTGTGTAGTAGATGTGGATGTAGCTGGCTAAAGGGCTTGAGCTATTGAGTTTGCCCTATGGGGCTTAATAATAATAGGAAGATACCTCTGGTAAAGTATAGTTATGAGGGGGGGGGTGGTCATTTCGAACGTTCAAATCTCCCAACAGGGTGCTTCGCTTAGCTCAGCAATCAAATTTTTTTCGACGGCTGTCCTGGTGGGCCGGTTCAACGCCATCAGAGCGGATCCGTCGTGCCTCAGATCCATACGTTGGAGGTTCAACTCCTAACAGGGGAAGAGAGAGTTTTGGTTTTCTTTGTCGCGGTGGTAGCGCTTTGTTCTTGACAGCGCACGTCGGCAAGGGCGCCGCGGATTTCAAACTGCGACGCAACACGAGTTGCAGCGCTGCAGTGCAGTGGAATGCAGTGACCCGTTGCGGCACTATCGGCTAAGCATCCGCGCCTCTCCGCCAGCCAGGGACTGCCAGGGACCGAGGTGGACCGAGGGATCTCCCAGCCCGCAGCGCCAGCGAGAGATGACTCAGCGCACCGCGCACCCCGCGTAGTTTGGCGTGCTGCGTCTGCACGTTTTTGCACCTTGGTTCGCGGCGTGTGCACCGGATCGTCGTTTGCACTGGTTTGCACGCCGCAATGTTTGCATTGTTCCCACACTGTCGGCGGCCGCGCGGCGTTGCCGCCCCGCCCGCTGTCCTGCCCGCCCTGCCCTGCCCCCACCGCATACTATATTTACGTTCACCTTGCCCGGCCCAACCTCGAGGGGCTGACGGCGAGGACGGCGAGGAGGACGACGAGGGCCTCGCCTCCCGGTGGCAGCTTGCCGCCACGGCCAGGTCGCCGCCAGGTCGCTGATCCTGGCGGTCTCCTCGTTAGTCGACGCGCGCGCACTTCTCGTAGGCGGCGAGGCGTCCTTCGTCTGGCCGGCCTGGCCGTCATTGTCACCGCGCGGCACGACGGGGGCACCGGGTGGACTGCGTTTCCGGCCGGTCTGACGCACGCCGCCACCGGCCGCGGGTTCAAATCCCAACCGCCACCTTCGCACAAACTCTCCCCTCGTCACACTCGGGGAACATTTTTAAGTGATCCTAAGTCAGGCGGGTAGCACACAAATGCGTGAAAGGGACAGAGCCACACGACGGTGCCGTGAGAGCGCTGTCGCCCCGCCTGAAGTAATGGACCCTTTTTGTCGCAGTAGACTCAATAAAGCGTTTGCAGACTGTCTCTGCCGGGAGTGGTGTAACATCGTTACAACGAGCAGGTGACGGAGGGACTCTCGGGGCGGAGCTGAGCTGAGCCGAGCAGATCCCCAGGTAAACAGAGAGTTACCGCTTTCGCCGCTTGGTGCTTCGTGCCGCCGATCCCTCATCCCTAAGGTGCTACTTCGCGACCCCGCGCCCCTCGGCGGAAACTAATGGCTGCGCACACACACGCACACTCCTACAGGCACACACACACACACGACGGGGAGGAGAACAATCATCAACTCATAAATTACTCCACGACGCGCGCAATGGTGTTCTTTTTCGAAACGATTTCAATTCTCACCTCCCCCTCCCCCCTCTCTCTTTCCTTCCGCCCCGTTCCGCCCCCTCGAGGCCGATGCCAAGGGCAGAGCCACGGCAGAGCCACCGGACGTCGGGGTGATGTCATCGGGATGTCAGGTTACCCTGACGCCGGCCGACGACGTCAGCAGGGATGTCCATGCGGCGATACACAGAGCCACACACCCACACAGCCACACAGCCACACAGCCCGCCACGCGCCATCCGCCCGCGCTCGTCCACAAACTATGCGTCTTATTCGTGGATGTTTACCTAGTCAGCGTGTCGGCGCGTTCGCAGTTCGCAGTTCGCGCGCGTCATAAAAAACATGAAAAGATGAATCGGCCGTGGCCTTTGCCGCGTGGGGGACATTTAGCCGCGGGGTGACCTCCCCGACGAGCCAGCCGCCAGCGGCAGCCGCGGCCGCAGCTACTCCAGCCCGGCCGCGGGGTAAATATTGGGCCGAAAGGAGCTGTTTGTGCAAGCCGGGGAGCGTGTGAAGAACGGTGGCGCCGCGGTGGGGCAGGACCAGGCAGGACACTGGTAAACACACGGCGGGACTCGGAACGGCCGCACCGATTCAGCTTTCAGGCCGCATTACACTACCAATGTTGTAAATTTTATTTCGCGTCTTGACGGACGAGGTGATGAGCAATGAAAGGGGGACTGGCGGCGCGGTGTCCGTCCCGTTTTCCTTGGCACCTTGGCCGTCATGCCGTCATCTGTTTCACGTTAACCAAGCAATGGTCGACGGCCGTCTCCACGGGGACGGGCCGACGGACCGCACTCCGCTTCGCCTCGCTGCAGCCAGCGGCTACTTTGTCTCGGCCTGCCTCGGCCTGCCTGGGCCTGCCCCGCCAGAGGCGCTAGAGCTGGGCGCGTGGAAGGCCCCTGCGCTCCTGCGTCCGGCAGGTTGGCCAACACACTCGCTTGACGTCAGCGGCCGGCGTGCTTCCGTTGGCACCCCTGCACCCTCAAGAAGACGTACGGCGGACTTGGCGGGCGCGCTCGTCAGCCATTCCCTCCGCCATTCACACCAAGTCGCCGGCAGGTGCCACTCACCTCTTCATGGTGACGGAGGCTGTGGTCCTCTACGGCCTCGCCCTCCGCCTAGCGCTAGGCGCCGCAGGGCCGACGCGTGGGGAGGGGGCCGGTCCGGTCCCCCTCCGACCTCGTCACGCGCGTCGTCACGCACGTCGTCACTCACGTCGTCGCGTCGTCGCGCCGTGACGGCCACACTGTGACTGCCCGTATCGCCGCGTGCGCTGTGCGTGCGGCGTGCGTGCGGCGTGCGTGCGGGGCGTGTCCGGGCGGCCGACACCGCGGCGACACCTCGCGGCGGACCGGGGAGGCCGCGGCCGCGTCCGGAGGGACTGCGATGTCGCGGACAAAGCGTGACCCGCGGCAGGGACACACCGTCAGTGTCGCACCTCGGACGCATCCCGACGAATAAAAGAACGAGAAAAGGCGTGGCGGCGTGCCAAATGCCTCGCGCCTCGTGCCTGGCCGTGCCCCGTCCCGTCGCGGTGTCGCGAAGCCGCGAACCAAGAAGCGCGTCTCAGTTTCCTCTGGCCACCCGCGCCGGCCGGGCCGAGCGCGCCTGTCAGCGCCCGGGTAGGCAGCCCTCTGGAGTGCGGCGCAGCGCTGCCAACGGGTTGCCTACCCCGACTCTCGCAGGCGCTCCACGTCCTGTTCGCTGTTCGCGCCGCTTCGCCGACGCGTGGCGCTTGGCGCTTGGCGCTTGGCACGCGCGTGCATCGGCTCCTCGGCTCCTCGGCCCGTCGGCTCTTAGAGCAGGAAGCGCGCCGCGTGTAAACACGCCCAGGGCGCACTCGGCGCACTCGGCACGTCGGCGCTCTCGATGGGCAGCCGCGGTGTTTACCTGAGCCGCTTTGCCCGGCTTCGCCCTTCGGCCCGCTTTGCCTAACGCATTCCTCGGCCACCTCCATCCCCGATCGTTTTACTCGTTTCAGCGCGCGTGTCCGTCAGCGACACTGCCCGGCCCGCGGCCCGACGAGTAACTCGGCGTCCAGAGTAAAAATATCCGCCCCCGCCCGGGCGCGCGGCCACCGCGGCCACGGCGGCCACCCAGGCGAGGCTAGGCGGGCTTTATCAATGGGGCGGGGAGCGGCGCGGGCCGGCCTAGCCTCGGCCGACCAAGCCCAAACTAATAAAGTCATCTGGCGGCGGGCGGCGCGGCCGGCCGGCCTATAACACTGCGACTACAACCACCGGCGCGAGGCCGCCGCCGAAAATACGAACGCGCGACCGGGGCCGGGGCCGCGCGCTGCAGCCGGCCAGCCAGCCAGGCAGCCAGGCCCACGGCTTGACGAGCCGATGTAGGTCGCCGCGGTGGATTCACCCGGCGGCCGTTGTTCGGGGCGCGGGGCGCAGGACTGCCCCAATGCGGGGAGGGGAGGGGGTCCGGAAAGGGAGACCGTCGCGCCGCGCGTTCAGATCGACGCAAACAAATAGACCGGCGAGGAAGCCGGCGGGCGGCGACGCATCGCGGTGGTTTCAAGCGTCACGCCGCCACATCCTGCAGTTGGCGGTCCGCGGTTCGCGGCGTGATTTAGCGGAGCTTTGTTCCCCTTGGCAGCCCTGCCTGCCGCGGCGCCGCTGCACTGCAGACACCCACTCTAAGACGTTTTGATTGCCGCTTGATGCCGAGCGCCTGCCTGCCCGTCCGTCCTCTCGTCCGGGCGTCCCGGTAACCCCGTTCGTTTGGACATAATCCGTGCACAGCCTCGCGAGCCAGAACACGCTCTACTCGAGCTCCTGTGGGGCGAGGCGGCGGCGCCTACCTTTCCACTTCGTCGGGGACGTTGGGCGCCGCTTGGTCGCTGGTCGCCGACGCAGCGTTCTCGGCAGTCACTGGTTTCGCCTCCACGGCGATCATCACTTCCTCTTGCGGCACTTCACAGTGTCCTTCCGGCTCAGTCATGTCACTGGAGTCCTCCGGGCCAGAGTGTCCGTTCACCAGGACAGCATCGGTGCTGTCCTCCGCGACGGCGTCCGTACCGTTCACCAGGACGGCGTCGGTGTCGTTCTCCGCGACAGCGTCCGTGCCGTTCACCAGGACGGCGTCGGTGTCGTTCTCCGCGACAGCGTCCATGTCGTCCTCCAGGGATGGCACGTCGCTGGCTGCCCCATCCTCCACCACCGCGGTGGAGAGGTCGATGTCCGGGACGGCCTCCGTCTCCACCACGGTGACGTCGTCGCCAGCGTCCGAGAGCTCCTCGCTGGCTTCTGTTATCTCCACGATGGAGACGCCGTTCTCCAGCGCGTCCTCCAGGGCCTCGTCGCTGTCCTCCAGCTCCACGAGGCAGACGTCCTCGTCGTCTGGGGAGGCCTCCGCGTCCTGGAGCGCGTCCTCCAAGACGTCAGGTGGCGGAATGCTTGTGTGGTTGTTGCCCATAGCGTCGTTGTCGTCCTCAAGTTCGTCCACATCGGGCACGTCCAGGTCGTCCCCGCCGTACGAGTCCTCGAACTCAAAATCGTCGAGGTCGTCTTCGTCGTCTTCACCCGATCCGTTGATGCGGATGGCTGGAATATAGAAGTTTTCAGTCAGTTTCTGGTCGTTGAAGCGGACGGTCTTTCGCTTGGGCTTGTCGTTCGCTGCGCCGGGGGCGTCGATGAGGATGCCGTCGATTTTGGCGTCGTCGGCGGCCTCGGAGCCACCGCCGTCGTGGAGCATGGTCGCGGTCGCGGTGCCCGCGGCACACTGCGCGTCCATCACGAGGGCGCGCGCTGGCGGCAGCAGCACGCCGAGCAGGCCATGCACGTCATCACGGCCGTGACGTTATTGGCACACCGGTGGGCCTACAGGCAGCCTATTGGCAGGTCGGCCAGGGCGCTGGGCGGCGCGCTGAGCGGCCCGCTGGCGCTGGCGGGTGCGGCGGTCCCTTTGTCCTCGGCGGGCACCTCGGTGACGCGGAGAGGAATGTCCGTCGACGCGGTGCTCGCGGCGTGGGGCGTGGGACTAGCACCTGCAGCCGTGTCTATCGCGGTGCTACGACTGCGGGCGACGGCCGGACGGCCGGCGCTGGGATGCTGCAGGCCCCACGCCCCCCTCGCCCCCCCGGCCCCCCTCGGCCCCCGGCGGCCCCCTAGCCAGCTGGCTGCTCATCCCCCTCCTTCCCACGGCCCTTCTTCTTGGCGGTCCTGGCCAAGGGCGCTAGCGGCAGCGCGACGTCAGGCCGCCGGGCGGTGGCGGTGACGTCACCGAGTTACCCGCCGAGGAATTCTTGTCGCAGGTGAAGGCGGCCGTCATGGCGGTGCGTTTATCGCCGGGGGCGTGGCCGCGTGGCCGCCGATGGCGACGCGATGGACGCGATGCTCGGGGTAACCCGGCCTTATCGAGCCCTGCCCGGCCGGCCGGCGAGTGAGTGGCCGCGGGGACAACAATGATTGCGGCGCCGCCGAGGCCGTCGTGGAGGTGGTGGCGGTGGCGCCACGTGGTGCCCGCCGTACCCGCTGTGCGCTGTGCGCCTTGCTTTGCGCTTCGCGTCCCTCCCGCGCGGAATCCCCACTAATTTGCGCCTCCGCTTGTCTTGCCGCCAATCAGGCGACTGTAAAAATAGACGGCGGCGGCGCCGCGTGGAGAGGCGCGGTGGGGGTGGCGGGGCGGGGCGGGGTGGTGCAGCGGGCCCCAAGGTAGGCAACCCATTCGACTTGGTCTCGGTAGCTGGCTGGCTTGCTTCCTCCGTTGTTTGACACACTGTGCTAGAGGAAGCTCGGTCAGGTTACACCGTGCTATCGACATAATGCTGAAAAACAAAGCAGCCAAGCAGAAAGAAAAAAAAACTGTGCCGTGCAGCAAAGTTTGTTTGTAATTTCAGAATTCATTAAGTGGTGTAACAGGGCCAACTTGTCTCCTTTCTGTTTCATTTAATCAACTTGTCTTCGTTTTGTTTTCTGCTTTTTGTCACACAATGTAGCCGGTGCAAGTCGGGCCGCAGCCGCCGCCCCGCTGCACGCAGTGTCAACAGGGCGGATTGTTTTTGTTCGGTGCAGCATTGCGATAGGGGAGACAAGGCAGACAATGGCTCCAATGTCGAAACCGTGAAATTGGCAGAACAATATCGCACCATGCGAGTGGTGGGGCTGTGCTGTGCCTTCAGGTTGACTCCTGGAAACAGGGAGGGTAGCGATCTTTGCCAGAGTCTTCATTTTTCTGTCCAAAGAAAAACGGCGAAACACACCAAATCAATCACCTTCGGATCGGAGAAAGTCAAAGGCAATCTTCCGTCGGCCCGTTGCCAAGGGAAGTAGCGGGTAGAAAAATGATGCAAAAGTGCCTCGGGTTTGCATAAGGCTCCGTCTGGCTGGTGTGCGTCGGCAAGGGTTCGGCGATAATGTACTTTTTTGTTGTATGTTGGGTGACGAGGGGTTTCTCCGCCGAGCAGACGCGAAAACAGGAATTCCCTTGACGGCGTAGGCCAGTCTTTGTTGACGTCCGCGTCGTTCGGCCAGCGGCAGTGAATCTGTGCAATGGTGTCATGGAGTCGGGCAATACCCGGAACCGGAAACCAGCACTGCCCTCTCGCACTCTGTGCGGGTGCGAGAGAGACAGAGCGACGAACAGCAACGCGTCCGGCACGTGCTGGCCGTCGTGCTGGCCGTCGTGCTGGCCGTCGTGCTGGCCGTCGTGCTGGCCGTCGTGCTGGCCGTCGTGCTGGCCGTCGTGCTGGCCGTCGTGCTGGCCGTCGTGCTGGCCGTCGTGCTGGCCGTCGTGCTGGCCGTCGTGCTGGCCTGGGGGACGCGAACGCGCTTTCAATAATAGAGTGCACCGAGAGTATCCCTTGGCAAGGAAGTGCAGCTATCCGCACTGCACTCGCAGCATGGACGTCTCGACGGATTCCGGAAACGACTCTTTTCCTCGTGACAGCTCCATCGCGACCGGAAGCTCTGCCCCGCCTCCGCCGGGACTCTGGTCCGCGTTTCCGGCGCCGGCACTGCCAGCGACGCGACCCTTCCCGACCCTTTCCGACCTGCCAGATTATTCTTTTATTTACCCGACTCGTCCGCGCGCCGCGGCGGGCCGCCAGCACCGCCAGCCCCGCCCCGTCTCGGAGGCTCGGCCGCCCAAAGAGAGCAAGAGCGGCCAAATCGAAATCGGCGATGATAAGTTTACGTCGGGCCGCGCCTTCTCGGCTTGCGGCTGCTTGCTGCCTTGGCGGCACCGCGTCGCGCACCGCGTGGTGGCCGCGTGATCCAAATCGGCACGCTTCGGCACAACTGCCATGCCGCCTCGCCATTGGCGGCGCCAGCGGCACTGCTTTGGCCGACCAACAACCCCGTAAGCCGCTTAGCCGCCGGCCAACCCCGTGCAAGTTACGTTGTTGTGTCCGGAGCCCTGCCGGCCCGGCACACCCTCGCCTCGTGATCAAGGAGGATGACGACGAGGATGACCGCCGCCGGGGATGTATTTCATAAGAAAAAACTGTTAGGACGGCGATACATGAAGACGAAGTGCGAAAAATGAACAAGCACCAGTCGCCCGTCTCTGTTCCACCTCCCGCCCCCTCGCCCCCGGCAGCGACACAGACGGAGACGGCAGCTAACAGTGTCTCGGACTGTCGTGGACGCAGCCCGGCCAGGCTGGGGGCCTCCTTGTAGAGCGCAGAGCCGCAGAGCCTCGGCACGGGCCAGCCACGTGCAAAGCGCTTCTCAAATGGATCGGCTCGAATTTCATCAGCCAGAGGAGTGGGTTCGGCCAGCTAGGCGCGACGCAGCTCCCGTGCAGCCCTGACACTGCGGCCGGGATACTTTGTACCGGCCGCGCCGCCACGCGCACACATACACATACACACACCAACTCACACAGACGCGTACACTCACGCACACAAGGATGTCGGCCAGACTGTGTTACATGAATGGTCCCTTCCAGATAAGAAATAACGCAGCAGATCACGCCACGCCACGCCGCCTGCGAGGTAGGCGACGGCGCGGCATCCGCGCGAGGCGGTACAGCCTACCCCTAGGCTGACAAGCTCCGGGGTTGGCGATGGCGACCAGGTTGGCGTCGTCGGCCTGGTTCGGGGGTTCGGGCCCGGGCCACCCCTCCCCGAGCAGGTCTGCACGGCGGCACGCACGACGGCGCGCGGCGCGCGGGGCTTCAAGTCCCCAAAGCCGGTCCGGGCAGCGCAGGGCAGCGCCGCTGAGGCGGGCCGGGTTAAACTATCGTGTCTCGCTAAAGGCTCGGCCGAGGGCTCCCCCAGGACGCCGGGGACTACCGGGTGGCGTAGGGCAGGAACCGGACCACCGGACGGGCCTCGGCCACTTTGTCTGCGACTGCAACGCATCTTTCCATCGCGGTTTGTTACGACTCCATCAATCACAGAAGTGCGTACATCATTGTTTATTCGGCCGGCTATCGACTCTGAGAAAATACATTGCGCCGAGTAACGTCCGCCGTAAGTCGGCGAATAAGTTTATTTCTGTACTTTGCGTCTTGCGACAGTAACGTGAGCGGGCGGCTGGCGTGGGCGGGGCCGGCCGGCCGACCAATAACCACAGGGGCACGGTGGCGGCGCGGAGGCGCGGCGGCAGCAGCACGGCCTGCCTCGCCTTATCGGCGCCCCGGCCGTAATCGAAGCTGCAATTGTTGTCGAGGCGGTTTCGCTGCTTTTGCGGCCGTGTTGGTGTGTCGGTGTGTTGTGGCGACGGGTCATTCCATCCACTGTTAATGTGTTAATGTGAGCGCGTTTGTGCGTCCGGCCCGGCCGGCAGTCCGGCGGGGACAGTTGTTGCGCGTGTAATGGGGGCTGGGAACGCCCCGCCCCGCCCCGCCCCGCCCCGCCCCGCCCCGCTTCCTTGTTCCGCGAGGGGGCAGCGGGTGGAGGAAGGGGGCCTTTCGGGCCTCTCTCTGTCCAACGTGACCCGCACGAAGTGAAGCCCGTCAAATCCCAACAGCACCCCATAGTGCGGACGGCAGCACGCCACACATAACACACACCGACACGACACACGCACACACACACACCCAGATTAGCAGACAGCTTTCGCGCTCGCCACGATCGGCTCGGCAGGGGGCAGTGCCGTGGGGGCAGTGCTGTGGGGGCGGCAAGGCAGGCAACCCCTTTGGGCCGAGTGGGCCAGCACACCGTATTGTTTTCATCGCACTGGCAAAGCGTGGCAAAGCACCCCACCCGCCACCACCGCACCACGCGGCCGACGCGGTCCTCGAGTGCGTCACGGTGCACCGCGTCACGCCCGGGCGCGTGCCGCCGTGACGACGACGACGACGCGCTGCGACACGACACGGTCCAAAACAAAAACAACGGAGTTGGCGGGACTGATCGCGGGGGGCTGCAGGGCGACGCACCACACTTATGTGATGCAATTCGAGATGGACGATGACTCGGACGGCAGCAGACAAAGTTGCGGCGTCCGTCTGGCACACTGTGTTGACATGTGCAAATGCCCCCCTCTCTCCCTCTCCCCATTCCTAGGTCGTCTCTGCTCCGCCACTGCTAGTTTCGCACGCGCCTCTCCCTCCCTCCCCCTCCCTCCCCCTCTCGCCCTCCAGAGTGGCCGCGGTATATATCCCCCGGGACGGCCGCAGCGGCCAGTTCACGTCAGCCTTCCCTAGCGCAGTGTCTCGTGTGTCGTCGAGTGGCCAAAGTGTCGCGTGTATGAGAATTTGAGCGCTGCCCCGTTCCGCGTAGCCCGTGTAGCTCCCCGCGGTGTCGTATGAGAAATCGTGCAGGCGGTGCGACTCGGTGACGGGTCTCTCCTGTTCGCCTCCCTCCGGCCCGCGCCGTGCTGGCCGTGCTGGCCCTGCTGTTGCAGTCCGCGAGTGACAGTGCGCCCGGCGAGACCGTCAGCGTTTCAAGACCGGTCGGATTTTCGGTTCCAATAGAACGAGCAAACAAGGTGAGGATTCTTCTTCGTCTTGGCAGGGAGATGCGGTCGGATGCCGTGACGTGTGCCGCCTAGCCTAGGTCACGCCTGGGTCGCGCCTAGCCTAGACCGTCATCTATCGCGCGATAAAGGAAGGCCGGCCCTGATGGCCAGGGTCAAGGGAGGCGCGTCGGCTGACTTCGGCAAAGACGTTATTGGCCCGGACACACTATCCGAGGTTCCAAAAAACGGGGAAATGCAGCTCGAGTTCTCGATGTCGCGAGGGAAGGCCGAAGCTGAAGAATGGAAGGTTCGCGAACGTGGCCTTTTCGCGTGTGTTGCCTCCGTGCCATTCTGAGGCCTCAAACGCACTTAGCCAGTTCCACGCGTCCTTGAAGTGTTCTGCAAGAAATCCAAGTGCAAAAATAAACATCCATCGATGAAAGTGCCGTTGATGTTTTTAATATTTTTGCGTCGCGCCGTCCGCGTGCAGGGCTGCAGGGCTGCTGGGCCCTGGCCCCGGCCCTGGCCAGTGCGGCTAGTGGCCGAGCGGGTACGCCATTTGCGGGCTTCCCGGACGACGCCGGTAGCGCCGACACTGCCAACGCGACAGCGCGGGGCGCGGCGCAGCGCGGGGGCGGGACGGGGCGGAACGGAGAAGAAGGCCCTTTTGGCGGCTGTGCGGCCCAGCGCGCGGCGCTCAGCGGCGCGCCAAACACTCGCATTGGAGGCCCTACAGAGCCCTTATCTTCAAGGTTGGCAGCCCCTGATCGACGACGAGCCGTAGGGGTGATTGCGTATGTCCCGGTAGGACAGCTCGCGTTGAGAGGGGCTGAAATTTTGCCGTTTTTGTAGCCGCCATAGCGATCGGACATGGCAACACCCTGGTCCTGGCGCCTGGCCCGGGCCGGATCGGGCGGCCTCCTCGCCACGCTGTGCTGCGCGCGCTGCGCTTCACCAGCTCCGGCCTATCCTATCGTGTTTCCGTGTCGTACGCGAGACAGTGCAGCCGCAGCGAGTCAGCGTTGGACAACCGTCGAAATGTTAGTTGAATGAAGGCAAAGAAGATGAGGTTCTTACGACTAGGCAGAAGTGCATTGCTGCCTGCGCCTGCCTAGTTATCAAGTGTGGCGCGCGCTAGACGAAGCGCGGGAAGGGCCGGTCGCTGTGGCGTCAAGGGAGCGTGGCTGCTTGGGACTTTGGCCCACACTATGTAGTTGCTCGATCGGCGTAACATGCGGGCCGCTCGAGGCGAGGAGCCGAAGTTTCGTATAGAATAACCGTTCCAACGGGTCCTGGTCGCGGGTTTCTCGTGCATCTGAGAGCTCCGCCTGAGGCCGTTCCACTGCGCGCTGGTGAGCTGTGCGGGCAAGAATGACCAATGCACGGCGATACAGCCTCAAAGTCTGATTTTTTACACTGATTTGCGTGACAGGATGCGGAGCTGGACCCTGATCCCGCTGGACAGTGGGTCTCGCTGGCACGACTCGCCGCATTGCGGGTCGTGGGTCGACCGCGTCTCGACATCTGCACAAGCGACAGCGCGCCGTCAGGCTGCGGATGCGCGACGGAGAAGCCCTTTGCGGCGTGGGCCCGGCGCGGGTACCCCAAACATGTGAGGCCAACAACCTTATCCTTGAGCCAACGGTAGGGTTTGCGTTCCCGTAAAATCGTTGAGGGGCAAACTTTTGTCGTGGAAACAAACTTCTTGGCGCTTCCTCCCATGTTGGCTGTCACAACTCGCCTTTTTTTCCGTGTCGTTACAAGCCGCAGCCGTGCAGCCGCAGCAGCCTTGGAGAACCCGCGAAATGAGATGGGGAATGAGGGCACAAGACTGAGAGGGCAGCGAAGAGGCAGAACCCTGGCATTGCCTGGGAAGGGCCCTGCGCCTGCTAGTTATGCAACAGTGGTGGCGCGGGGCGCGGCGCGGGAGGGAGGGCCGGTGGGGCGCTCGGCGTTCGAGGGGCGTGGCTGGGGCTGGCTGGGACTGGCGCCACCCGGGGGTGTGTCTGTCTCGTCTTCGTCGGCGTGGTCCGGCAGGCCGCCTCTGGGCGCGGGCTCGACTCCCGGTGGCCGAGCGGGTCGAGCCTCCCGGACCGCCTCTCCCCGGCCTCGCGGGCTTATCCAAGGCTGCGGGCAAGGTCAAGGAGGTCGTCCCGCGGCCGTCCCCACGTGCGGCGCGGTGGCGCGGTGCGGGCCAAGCCCCCTTGTTCTCGGACCAGCACGGCGACGGCGCTCAAAGTCTGACTTACTTACACTGGATTGTTCTTTGTCGTGTACAGGATGACGGAGTGCGACCGCGTGATCCCCCTGGACGTGGTGTCGCTGCACGACTCGCCGTCCGACTGCTGGGTCGTGGTGTTCGACCGCGTCTACGACATCACCCCCATGCTCCACGAGGTAGGCTGCGCCGCGCACGCCGTCTACTCTACAAATCGAAGAGTGTACATGGTATGCTCTAACTGGAGCATGCCTGCAAGCACGCTCTAACTAGCGCATGCCTGCCAAGCATGCACTTACTAGTGCATACATGCCATGTACACGCTTCCTGATGCAGACAACTCCCTATCCCTTATGCACTAGATGCATGCTTCAGTTAGCGTGTACATGGCATGTATGCACTCGAGGGGGAAATCACTCGCGTAATAGTCGGGTCACCAATTCTTAGTATTACGCGTAATAGTAAAAGCGTAATAGCCAAAATTTTTTAAAATTTTCCCGTTTTGGGTCTAATTTTAGCCTAAATCTGGATATTTTCGAGCGTAATAAGCCTTCTGTAATAGCGTAATAGAACGTAATAGGGAGTAGTCGGGTCACAGTTTTTAAGAGTGATTTCCCCCTCGTATCCACTAGTTAGTGCATGCCTGGCAGGCATGAGCTAGCTAGAGCGTGCTTGCACGCATGCTCCAGCTAGAGCATACCATGTACACTCTTCGATTTGTAGAGTAGGCTGCCGGGATGGCGCGTTCGCGACGGGCAGTGTGCTGACGCGGACCTCACTTTTGCAGCACCCCGGAGGCATGGAGATCCTGCTGGAGAACGCCGGGCGCGACGCCAGCCTGGCGTTCCAGGGCGTGGGCCACTCCAGGGCGGCGCTGGCCGCGCTCAGGGCCTTCCAGGTCGGCGTGCTGCCCGACGCCGAGCGCATCTTCAGCAGCGCGCGTCCGGGACACCTGCAGATCGCGCGGCAGGCGTCCTCGGCCACGCTGCTGTACACTCCGTGAAGGCCGTCGCCCTCGTCTCCATGAGCGCCAACTTCGTCCCGTCCCCGAATAGACGCCCCGGCAAAGCCCAACCTGTGGATAGGGGGACTTCCCTCCAGCGGCCAGCTCTTTGTCGCTCTGTCTCTCTCGCACTCTAACGGTGAGAGCCACGAGAGCGACAGAGACAGAGCGGTGAAATGACTCCCAGGGGGCACCACGCCTCTGCGAGTTGTCGATCGGGGAAACGCCGGGTGCCTCTAGAGGTGCCGCGCCTGTATTACTAATGTTACTCCATCGGCCCAGTTTTGATCAGAATGAACGAGCTTTGTCTTTCATTCTATTAGAAGGTTGTCCAAAGAGTCCAGATTAAGGGTGTATCAGTATCAAAATGGTGGCGCTACCCTGTGTGCAGCTTTGGGGTATTAGCTTGTCATTTGAAGGATAACCTCACGCCGTTCAGTATTACTGCATTCCACCATCGGAAATTCCCCTTTCCTTTTTTAAAAGTTGTTGTATTTTTCACTTTCATCCATTTTCTTAGCCGGAATTGGGAAGACCAGTCATTCCAAGTCCCTGTAGAATAAATATATTTGTTGCACTTTTGTTAACCATGGACTTGACATTTTGTTAAAAAATGTAAAAGTTTAAAGATTTATATTGTGCATGCAAATTAACAACACTGTATCCACAGTTATAAAAATGTCAGTATTTTCAATAGAATATGACAGTGTGATATGGTGCTCATTTAAGCATTCTGCATCTTTTATTCTGCATATTTTTGCTTGATCCCATGTGATTTTATTTATTGTGTTTGTTAATTAACTTATTGTCGCCCCCAAGTCGAAAACTCTTAACATTATTTCTCTATGGAGAATATGGTTCCACTTCATCATGGGCTTCAACCCAGTGCTTGTGTGTAAGGGCAAATAAAAACAAAAAAAAGTTACAATTGTCTTTTATTATTATTGAAGAGAACTGCAGCAAACACACCAATATAATAGTGAATAATTTGATGTCAGCCAAATACTTAAAACACTTTGTCCAGTATTATCACGGTTGCGGCATGTTTACCCTCCAATTACCCGCCGCACTCAATGTATTAAAATTATCAACAACTTAAATAATAAATTTTCTATAGTCAACTTCTTAAATTGGCACAATGATGTGGTCAGCTGCATGTAGTCCTTTTCTGATGAGATTTCATGCGTATAACTAAGCCTATCTTCTGGCACTATGCAAAACACTGACTCATAGCTAAGCAAGTCTGCTACTAGAATGAAGAAATCTCACCAGCCTGCATCACAGATAAGCACAATGAGATCAATAAAATATTTATATAGACAAATTTTAAGGACAACATATGCATATATATTTTAAATACAGAATTTTTTTTTAAAAAGCACAACATCAGACTTAAGATCAGAATGAATAAATTCTGCTACAAAATCAACAACTTTTAAAGCCTCTGACAGAGTTGTGGCGAAAAGATGAGAAAAGGTACATACGACGAACAAACCAAAGTACAAAGCCAACAAGGCTTGCAATGTACAGGAAGATGATAGTAGATTCACGTGGCATATGACATTTTGAAACAGCATAGTTGTTGGGGGTAATCATACCCTGGAAACAAAGATGAGAAAGAATAAAAGGAAACATTGAAATTATTTTTTTAAATGACGGTCTTTCTAAACTTACCAAAAGGAAAGTAGGGTTGTCTTTGTTTCTCCAGCTAAATGAAGATACTGTGTACTCATGGATGTCCTGAGAAGCCCCATGAACAACATGGCATCCGTGATGTGTGTGCCCAGTGAATACAGCTCTTGGATCCAGTTGATCAAATATCTAACAAACAAAAGAGAGAAACCACAGTAGCAACATTGGTTTACATACTTCAAAAAACCCAGTAAAGAATTCAATTCAAGATTGTCACAATATGCTCACCATCTCTGTTGCTTCTCGAGAAAGACACTCCCATCGCTCTCGAAATTTCATCCTTTTGAGGTCCTCTGGGGCTTCATCAGGTTCATCACAATTTTTGTCAGAGTCTCGGTACATAGGGAAATGCTACAATGATTTTTTAAATTTGTATGAAAAGAAGTAAAATATAAGTTTATTTGCTTTTCATATCTGAATCGAGTAAAACTCACCTGTAAAATAATTGGCCTGCTGTATTGCTTCTGGGGCATCCCTGGGGCACATCCTTTCCCCACACCTTGGTAGCATCTCAACTTTTCTGGACAAAAAAGACAGCAGAAGACTTAAAAAACAATCCAATAACTAGTTGAAACTCAATTCAAAAGATGTGCACCTGCTCAACTCACCCGCAATAGTCATCAATTTAACTTCAGCTTGTCGGCAAAGAGAACAGTCATCCCCTTCCATTGCCATACTATTGATGAGTACAAAGTGATTGCCTCTAATAGATACTATCTTTACAGGAGGGGCATTAAATGCATTCTTGAACCGCTCATTCAAATATGGACTGATTCTGAAATTAATGTGTCACTTAAGAAATTTAGAAAGTGCATTCTTACTTTAACTTTCTGTAAAATTAAAAAAGAAAAACTTACGCATAGTGAAAGCCAATGTCATGATTTCCAGCAGCAACAAATACTTTAGTTCCTTCAGGTACTTTAAACAAACTATTAAATCGATCTACATAATAGTCAAATTCCACCTTGCCACACCAGAGGCCTTCATCAAAAACATCACCTGGAAATATGGATGTGAAATGATGTAACCAAGGACACCTTCAACATGGAAACCTATATCATAAATGTTATATCCATGGCACTCACCCAAAAAAAATACTACTTCAGGTTTGTGCAGGGAAATTGCACTTTGAAATGCTCTATACATCTGCCATTCCCTCCTAAGTTTGTCGAACCAGTGTCCATTGCGAGACCCTAGAAGATGTGTGTCCGCCAAAAACATAGCCCGAACTGGTTCATTATAGTTTTTGGAAGGTGAAGATGAGCTCGGCTTCTCTGACTTTAGCTCAGGCCAAGAACACTGAAACAGAAGAAAATCTAAATTAGTACCAGCAGTAACAGATTGGGTGAAACAACAAAGTGAAACTTGCAAAAGCAACCATTGACAGAAATCACCCACCTGATATATAACGAGGTAGTACATAAAATATTCACATAATGCAAAAGTAAACAAGATGTAAGCTATAATGCGAGCAACTAATTTAACTTGTATCTTCATCCTCATGGTTCCCGATCAGATGCACTAATATCAGATGATGGAAAGAACGCCTCAGGAGCCTCAGGTTATGTTTGTTTGTACTTTCCACGTGTGAGGTGAAAAACAGTGGAAAGTCTATGAGACGTTTTGAGACACGGTCCCATAATCAAACCATGTCCTTTCGGGACAATCAGGACATCAGGTACATGAGATAAGATATCATTTCTCTTCTTTCACCAGACCCAGGACCAAAACACCGAGCATGTTACTTGTCATTTTGTTCGCAGACATTGCAACGGACGTTTGAAATTAATTTCCAGCACCATATCATTTAAGAATTACGAATTTACTTAAATCACGTTGAGATATAGTGTCAGCAGACGTAGGATTCAAGCAGAAGTCAACAAAGTGCTCCGCCCTGTCAATACCGTTGGTGGGTGGAGTGGGGGTATCTGCGAATAAGGTATTTGTGTATTCCCACTGCCAGTGCAAATTCAAAACAATGGAAGAAGGTTATTTTATTTACCATTTTTGAAGTTGTTAGTTGTTGTTTTGAATGCAGGCCTTCATGTTTAGATGTCATTACTGTCGACAGTACTGAACTTCTAAGTTCTTACAAAGCGCGTATGTGAGTGTAAGTACTATCATAGCTTTCATTCATACCTGAAATGTAAATGATATGCCTGGTACATTGTGGTTTGATTTAATGTTTTCAAAAAGTCAAGCCTTGGATCATACTGCTGTTTCATTCCCCTCGTCTGATCCGATTTATTTCTCAACAGGTGTCAAAGCAGGACACAGCAATGCCTAGGAAATGCTGCATATGCAACACTTCAAAAGGTGTCAAATACAATGAGGTTCCAAGTAATCCTACTCTGAGGGCCAAATGGCTTTCCGTTATCCCAAACAAGGATAATCTGGGAGAAAATCCGGTAGTTTGTAACCTTCACTTTCAAGAGTCGGACTATGACACAAATTCCAAGTACCGACGACTGAAGCGAGGTGTTGTTCCAATGGTAATACCACACGAAGAATTGGATCATGAACCTTATGAAGAAGAAGGACAAAAGGAAAGGTACCTTCATTTTTTTGGAACTCAGGTTAAAGAGAAGAATGCTGAGTTGTTAGAGGTCAAGACACAGCTTCGAAAAGTAGAAGGTCATTTGAAGCATGTAACAAAACATAATGGAGGTATAGATGCACAGCTTGAAGCTTTAACTAAACTGCTTCAACAATCTAAAGAAGAAAGTAAGAAGAAAACCTTAGACTTACAGAACTTAGAGACTGAAATTAAAATATTGAAAGCTATGTGTCATCGACAAGAAATGTCTCTCAAAAGTAAGGATAAGCTAATCCAAGAGCTAAAGGAGAAGCAAAAGGAGCTACAACGCAGTGTCAGGGAATCAAAGAAATCAAAGTCGCTGGAAGACATTGAGCTGAAGAAGGGAAAGTCGAGTTTAGCAAAAGATAGAAATTTACAAATGGCTAGAATAAAATTAAATAATGCAAAGGCTAGAAGTATGTATATGGAAAAGATACGTAGGCTCCAGAAGCAATTAGACATCTTGAAAGCAGAGAGAAAAGACTTAGATGAAAATGTTTACTACCAAAATTTAGAAAATTTGATTATTAATATGGACACTGACAGAAGAGCAGCATTTGTCCTAGATCAGGTTAAACTCTACAATAAGAAAGTTCCTCGGTATTCTGATTTGACCCTCCAAGAATGTATAATATGGGAGGACACTGACCCCAGTGGATATGAATATGTACGAAGCAGTGATCTTCTCACACTCCCGGCTCAATGGACCATGAAAAGACATTTAGGTCCTATGGATTACGATGAAGTAGCAACTAGTAAAACAGATACTTTAAGTGCCAACTTTGAGGTGACCACAATGTCGGATGCTCCTGACTTACTTCAGTGTTAATAATATGTATGTAGTTCAAATTTTGAGAAGATTGCAAAGTGCTTCCTGAAATCGGTCTTGACCCAGAGTCGAAAAGTGTCTTGAAAGTTTAAAAAAATGTAAGAGATCTGTCTGTAAACAAATAATTTGTGAAAAAATGTGATACAAATAAATGTTTAGTACCTAGTTACTTTAGTCTTGAATGCTTTATATCCTTTGTGTGTCTTAAACCTGTGGATTCGGAACCACAGCTGAAATCAGCCCTGTTTTGCTGAAATTACGGACGGTCACAGGGAGCTTTCCGTGTGTCCGCCCGCGAGGTAGGCAACCGTTCGAGCACGGCAGCAAAACAAGTTGCCTACCCCGCGTGACTTTCTGTTCCCAGATCACCTGGGTTGTAGGGAAGCACGGCGGGAATTGCAGGTGTAATTGCATTTCATCTGAGATTTTTTTCCTCCAGTTCCTTTTTTCCCCTTTATTTCGAAATGAATCTTGCTTCCGAAGCGCACACCACCTCCCATGACGCGGGCTGGCATCACGACGTTTCTCTTCCCTGGATACCATTTCCTTCCGAGGACTGATGCCACACCGAGGGCTGCGTTCGAAGGTCCACCGCTGTCCTGCTTCCGCCAGTCCAGAAGGCGGCAACGCGGCTCCGGGAAAACGGGTACCACCATTTCGAACGCCCCCGTCTGGAAGAGTGAGGCGGCAGCTGCGGCCGCGGAGCCGCTGGGGCTGCTGGACAAGGCGGCGTAGTGCAGGCCGCCGCCGCTGGAGGGCGCCAGTCTCGGCGCCAGCCGCCAGCCTCTCTCCCGGTCCGGTGCCCGGCTCGGTGCAGCTTTCCCAAGTCCAAGTGGCGGCTCGGGCTGCCGCAGCCCGCACCGGCCGGCGGCGGCCGAGCCGAGCCGAAAGGGGAAGCAGGCGGGGGGGGCGGGGACGAGGGGGACGCGGAGGAGGGGCGGTGGCGGTACAGCGGCACGGCGGGGCGGGCCGTGTCGGCGGGCAGGTAGAGAAGGTAGAAGGGAGACGGCCAAGGGGCCGAGCTCCGCGGCGGGGCAAGGCGGCAGGGCCGGCAGGGCAGGTCCCGGTGCGGCGGTGCGGCTCTGGCCTCTCGGCGGCGTGGCGCGGCGTAGCGCCATTCCAATGCACTGCAGCCATCCCGGCCGGAGCGGCCGCCCGCCGTGCCAGCGCCTACCAGCGCGGTCCTTCCTTTCTTTCCTTGACTTGAGTCTTCAGTTGCCGCCTCTCGCTCGCGGGCCACGGACGCGGCACGCGGCGTGGAGCCGCGCGTTCTTGTTGTCCTCCTCGGGGAGCGCTCGCGTCGCGTCGCACCATCAGCGGTGACAGCCAGCCGGCCGACGGCCAAGTGACACTGCACTGCGAACCGTGCGTGTCCCGACCGGACAAGTTTTCGCGGGTGAAAGTGACAGTGGCCAACACCGTGGTGCGTTCCCGGATAAAGGATTAGAGTGGATTACCTCCCCGTCAAGCTCGGGCATGCCGACGCAGCGTTGAAGGTGAGTTTGGGGCTCGGTCCAGACATTACCCTCCAGCGGCGGCGAGAGTTTCTTGCTGTTCGGACGGAGCCATGCAGGCCGAGGGCGTTGTTGTTGTTGGTGGTGGTGAAGCTGTACCCAATTGACAACCCGCATAGGGCCCGCATGACGCCACGAATAATCCAACGCCTCAGTCCCTCTCTCTCCCCAGAACGATTCCGGCGAGCCGCTTCATCGCTCGGTCTCTGTCGCACTCATTAGCCGTTTCGCCGAGACGTGAGAGCAGACGGAGCGACGAAACGACTCTTAGGGATCGGCTGGAGCGCACATTTCCTCGAGGACCTCGAGCCTTGCCTTCTTGTCGTCCAGCTGACTTCAACTCCGCTCGTCGGCGTACCTGCAGGTGCGGCCTGGAAAGAAGAGGGGGGGGGGCGTTGTCTGGCCGTCCGAAAAGGGGGAGGGGTGGAAAATGGACACACATGAATGGATGAAGAAGTTGGAGGGGATGGAAGGGCCACGGAACCACAGACGCGTTGTTATCGCTGGTCTGTCCCTACATCACCGCATTCATCACACCTAGGTTTGAAGGGAAATGGTGTAGGGGGCGTAAGCAAGAGAGAGGGGGGAGGGGGGCGATTGACGTCTACTGCTACTACACAGGACACAGAGGTTTCCGATGCCTTGCTGAAAAAAGGGCTGGCGGTCGCGTGCCGCTAATTTTTGCCGTGCACCGCGTGCATAGGGCGTGTGTGGGAAACGGCGAGTGAATCAACTACACTCGGCGAAAAAGGAAAGAGAAGCCGAGAGTAAAAATAAAAGTGTGGACGACGACGAACATTCTCGCGGATCCTGTTTCTGGTCGAGCTGCGCTATGCAGGCACGGCAGCCCCGCCGCGGGCCGGCGTCGAACCCACGTCGAACCCACGTCGCGCCTCGCGTCGTCGGCCGCGCGCCAACGCCCGGTCCGCGAGGTGTGGAAGCGACGGGGTGCATGGCCATGCACGGCACGGCCACCATGCCGACATTGCGACGGTCAAATTGCCATGGGTTACTGCGCGGCGTGGGTGACGTAAATATGTGGATTTGTGTGACGGCGACGACGACGGAATTTCTACTTTTGGTGTGCACACAGACAGGCAGGCGGACAGAGCATACAGGGCGCGGAAGTGCCACTCCCCGTCTCGACCGGCCGTCGGCCCGGGCGGCCCGGGTAAACAGTGCAGCCCCGCCCAGCCAGGCGGCCAGCCAGGCGGCAGTCAGGTGGGCCGTACCCACGCACCTGTGCCGCGCGGTCAGGCAGCCTGGCAGAGCTGGCAGGCCGCGCGGACGGTGCTGCGCGCCGCCGCCGCCACCGCCGCGGACCCTGGCAGAAAATGAGGGCCTGGCCGACGACGGTCAGTACCCCGCGAGCCAGTGACTTTAATGCAGGTCTTATGTGGTGCACTTCGCGCGCGGGGTATGGTTACAGGCCGTTTCTTCCCCATGGACGCCGCGACGCCGCAACGTACACCTTGAGCGTGCACCGAGTGAGAAAACGGTGGCCGGCCGGCCGGGAATCGAACCCGAGGGTGGTCCGGGCCGCCGTTTGGCACGGGGAAGTGCGCTGGAAGTGCAGCCAGTCTCTCATATTTCCCCGGCCAATCACTCTGCTCTGCCCGGCGCCGCCGCCTTTTTCGCGAAACGATGGAAGCAGACAAAGACTTTTGTTCCTCATTGTCCCGATGTGGTCGAACACGGGCGCAATGTGGCACAATAGGAACAGAACGGGCGCGCTGCTGGGAGAACACCGATGGGGTAATTACTGTTGCAATTACAGGTCCGTACACTGCAACGAAGCATCGAATGGCCATGCTTCTTCCTCCTGGAGCAGGGCGAGCAGGGCGTGGTGGTGGCGTGGTACTCCACGGCGTGGCCTTGGTGCGCTGGGCGTGGCGTGCTGGAGCGGCGCTGCACCGATAGGTCCTGGAGCCCCTGGAGGCCCTGGAGCTGGAGAAGGAGAGGTGAGGCCAGCGAGCGGCGGCGTGCCGGTGTCCGCAGTCCGCGCCGTGGCAGAGGGGAAGGGGAGGGCGGCAACAGGTGGCATGCGACCTGGGGGAAAAGGGGGGGGGGTGCAGGTTGAGTTCCAATGGCTTCGCATGACGATATTGAATCCCCCGAATGGGTGCCGCGCTGGCGGTGTGGCGGTGCTGATCCCAAGGCTGCCGGATGTCCTCGCCGATAACGAAGTCGCAATTGAGCACGGCGCTGCCAGGCTGCGCGGCCACTCGCCCAATTGGAACCGCTACAATTGCCAATACCGCAGCGCGAGCACCGCGAGGACCGCGAGCGGCCAACTGGCGGCAGCCTCTGCAGGTGGCGGCGCCGCCGCGCCCCGCCCCGCCCCGCCCCGCCATGTAGGGTGAACGCCGGTCCACTAAACGAATCGAGGACTTTGCCCAAATGTTGGCGTCGGCAGTGGGCCGGCTTCGGCCTCGGCCTGCGACCCCGTCGTCAGCGACCCCTTTACACACACACACACACACGCTCACACGCGCGGGGTGCTTTTCGGGGGTGTGGGAGGGTGGCGGTGGCCGTTGTCCCACATTGCACCGGATGGGCCGAGGCAGGGCGGCCAGGGCGTCGTCGCGCTGAGTCAGCCTCTCGACGAGGAAGCCGCACTTTGATGTGTGCAGTTTTTGCCCCCGCCCTTGCCCCCGCACCCCTCTACGACTTCTGTGGACTAGCTTCAAGTGTCCAAGTCGGCGAACGCTGACCAAAGCATGCTTCGCATGTTTGTGTCTCTGTGGCCGCCTAGAACGGTTTGACCAAGCTGTTTGTTTTTATAGTTCTCTTTTCCAGTCGTGGATCTCGCTTGAACGAAACAGTTGTAAATAAAAAGGAATAAAAATTTGATCGTATCTCCCCGAGGTCAATGATTGTTTCGCTAGATTTTTTTGCCGTCCCTTTCTTGTCCTTTGAGTACCGACACGGCCAAGAGTATCGATAAAATCTGCGCGGCTTCGTGGGCCTGGCTTTTACGGTGGCGTTGGAACCTGTTTATAAAGTGCACCTTTAAAAAAATCTGGAACGGGACCTATTATTCTGGAGGCTGGAGAGGCTCGGCTGGAGCCGCGACAGTTAGGCCGCAATCTGGATGGATCCCCGTGGATCGCTGTGCGGAGCCGCGGAGCCTGGCGAAGCTAGGCGGAGCGTGCCGCTTCCCGTTACCAATGTGTTGCCTTTTCGGCGGTGTGGTGCTAGTACACTGTAGTGCCCATGGCGGTGCCATGGCGGTGCCTGCCTAGGCTACAACGAGCGGCCCGCCGAGTCCTGGCCTACATCGCTGCAGATCGCACTGCCAGACTGCCAGTGCCTGGCTCGCGGGATGGATGGGATGGAAGGCTCAGTGACCCCACCTCGCCCCGCCCCGCCCCGCCCCGCGACGTCGCGATGAGTCTGGCCGCGGCTCGCGCTTTGGCTCGAAGCGGCCGATAATTAGCGGTAACGGTAAGGCGCTGTCGGCCTGTAGGGCCTCGCCACGCCATCGCCACGGCATCGCCACGGCCGCGGTCCTCGGCGGCCCCTTTTGGCGCTGCCGTCACGTCGCCGTCCGTCATGACGGCCGTCATCATCGACCTCTCCCTTTCGTCCTCCGAACGGGGAGGTGGCGGCGGGGAGAAAGTGCGCGCACACATGCCAACACACACAGACACACACACACACACACACGCGCGCACACACAGACACACACACACACACATACGCATTCGCGGGCTGGCTGCCCCTCGCCCTCGCCGCAGCGCGGCGGTGGCGGCGGAGTGGTGGACATCGACTGGAGGGGTTTGAAGGTCTCGGACTTTGCCTGCCACGACAGTGGGAATGACCGCCACCGCCGCTAGACGGCGCTAGACGCCGCTAGACGGCGCCGGGACGGCTTGGGAGCTCGCCGCACTTTCTCTGGAGCTCCGGCCGGAGCGGCGCGCCTCGTGGTGTCACTCACTCCCCATTCCCCGCGACAAAGTTCGCCAAAGTGATTGTATTCCGCCTTCCGTGGGACCGCGTTGCCGCCGTCGCCCCGTCCAGTCCGGCGCGGCGGGTTCGAATCCCAGCCGCGGCGCGTTCATTTTGGTCGCGGTTTTCGGCTCGGAGTGTACCGGTGTGGCGGTGCTCGCCCTCCGTGAGAAAATGAGCCGCGCGGAGGCGCCGCCGCACACTCGGCCCGTCTTGCATTATTTCTCAAATTCGTTGTACGAGGTTTTTGTTTCTTGGTTATTTTTGTGGCGGGGCTTCCGAAAGTGTGAGAAAAGGCGCGCGCTATCGCCCGCCGGTCATCTTACACGGAATTCGGGCGATGACTCCGAGCATGAGCATTTAGCGCTGTGAAAGAGGAGACGGCGTGTGCTTGCCGAGTACATACAGCGTGCACTGATGCGTTGGCTCGGTGGGTGGGTAGGTACAGTTGAAACGAAAGTCGCAGGAAACTTTGGGGCGGTGACGACGCCGTTCGACTCGTCCTCGACGCCGCCGTCCTCCACCACGCCGCCGTCCTCCACCACACCGTTGACGACGCCGACGAGGACGTCGTCGCTTGCCGCTCTGGCGGCGTCGCCGCGTCGAGCGCGGGGACCGCCATGTCCAAATATACCCCTTTTCCCTTTTCTCTGATGTATGCCCTCGCCCTCGGCCTCGGGCTCCGATGGTGGAGCGGCATGTACAAGTACACTGCAAGAAACCAGCTGGTTTCTTACCCGCGCAAAATGGGTTTCGGCCCTTTCGAAATTTGCATTTTCTTCCTACTTGTCTTGTACGTACTTTTGGGGTCGGATCCACTTGAGCAGCCTGTCGGCAGCGCTTCTACTCCGTCTACTTACGCCAGTGTTGTGGTCGCGGAGGGCAGGCCGAGGGTCCTACCGGCCGCACACCACAACGTTGCGGGCCGCGCTGTTGCACAACCAACCGAATCCTTGACTTACCAGTGTCTGGCACAAAAACATCGAGGGGAAAAGAACAAGGGTTTGTTAGATGAGAGAACCCGTACAGTT